GCGGAGGACTGTTCAAGGGCCTCTAGTCTTTGGATGATGCTGCCTATCCCAGAAAGGGCAGTGCAGACTAGTGGTAGGAGAATGACCTCGCCAGCAGACAGATGCAGAAGCTGAGCGTCGGTAGGGGGGGGAATGGGGGGGGCTGCCTGTCCTATGTGGCGGAGAGTGCGGGCTAGTTCATCCCTTATCAGGGTGAGATTATCGGGGAGAGAGGGGGTTGGAGCCCTTGACTCATAGGGCGAGGCACGACTGGAGGCTCGAGAGCCAGACCTTGAAGGGCCCGGACCAGGCCCCTCCATGGTGAAGGGGGCTGTGCAGGGCAGTGAGGGGGCTGTGCACTTAGAGACTGAAGCCTAAGCGAGGGAGGAATTAGGTGTGTGGAGATGGTTGCCACGCAAAACCCTGGAGTTTTGCCTGGCCGAATGCGGTAATGTTTTTAAGCGAGAGGAAAGTAGAGGGCGCGGAGCGTGAAACTTAAAGCTAGGGAGGCACCTCAATATTTATATTCTGTGTCTAGGTTGTTGAATTTTCTAATTCGTTTCATATGTATATTCTCCTTGATAATATCGTATATTCCTCTACTTAGTATTTCTTTTGACTATGAACATTACTACAGCTGGAGTATGTATTACGTATATTTCATATAATATTTCATGATACGATTAGGGGATTATGATGTGTTTTCTTATCTGGTGTTCAGGTTTATTTCCTACATTTTATCCGCTCACACCACTTCAGATATACGCATGTTTTATGGGATTTCCTTGGCAGTTCTTCAGGGTCAAACATACTTCCACTTATGTTTCCCTTATATTTCTCTTAGTTACTTAAAGGACGCACACCTGTATAAATAGGCGTCATCGTCCATCTCACTTAAGAGAATCAAGGACAAGAATTACTACCAATCTACCTTCATACCAAACTCCTCCTCGCTTAAACGTGCCCGTGGTATACTCTCTCTACTTCGTCGTATTTTCGTACAAAGTTATTAAGATAGTGCCGTACCGTACACATTTAAACATAGGTGGTCGTAGACTACATCCAATGCCTTACTGACTATGTACCTACTATGCTACCAATTCAGTGCCCATGGAGTACAAACTCTGTTTGATCCTAAAAACTACTACTAACTTGAACTCCCCTACTCGCTTCCTGAGTAGATTGATCAGCTTCCTCAAAGGACTTATCAATGACTCTTCTATGTACATAGCTTAGAGTATATGACAAAGATAACTAACTCAACCAGTGAGTTGTTATTAGCCAATCATGAACTAGTCTTCCGAATGACCCTAGTTCATGCAAGCTGAAGGCGGCATGCATATTACTTCTTGTAATAGCATATAGACTTGCAGAGGTCATAGCTTCATAATTAACTGACTAATCTAAACCAACTTAGTCTTATCTGATAGACCGGAGCTTCTTCTATGTTATCTAGTGAAAACCCCTCAGTCGCATGCCTTGTATCTTCACAGAATGGGATATGTTGATGCCTTATCATTTCATACAATAATATGATATCGTCATAATAACTACAGTAGGGCCAGGGGTCAAACACCTAACCTTATGCATTTAGTCCCGTGCTGTACCAATTATACTTCTATGTGTAACTAATACCAGGTGCATGTTTATCCTGGAAGTCTGCCCAGCTCAGTTTTTGATTGGTCTTAACCACCTGGATGAATGTATGATGTTATTGCCAGCTAAGAAGAACAGGATGACCAGAGCATAGATTATTATCAAGGGATTGCCATTCATATACTCAAACAAGGACGCTTTTAACTGTAGTCCATGGCCAGTCAATAATCTGAGCTACAAGAGTGATGCTCCAGAGGGTGTAGAAAAAGGCAACAATCATGCCTTTCTCAACATTGCTCATTTCACATCTGGAGGTTTTAGGAGGGTACTTTTTTTTTTGTAGAAGGCTTTGCATATCTGGACCGGTTAACCATGGTTGAATTCTGTAGATAAACAAGTAACACTGTTGACACTACTACCAGTCACGGTACACGATCTGGCATTTTTACTACGTCGCTTACTAAGCTAAGCATATTTCATGAACACTTTTGATAAGGGGCTCTATATTTATTACAACTTTTTTTTAAAACATTTCTTCTAATTATAACTATAAAAATAAAATAAAATTCTCCTCCTACTCAATATTGTAATATATCATTTTGGTTTTAAAACTAGCTATCAAGTAAGACAAGAGAAATTTTTCTTTATAAATAAGATCTCTCATTAGAGAAATAATCTACTTGGCTTAGTCAAATTATTTCCTTGCAGCCTATAATATATACAATAAGAAATATATGCAATAAAATCCTAATTGCATAAATTCAAAGTTTGTAATCCTTTTCCACCATCTTTTTTTCTTTTCCCTCTTTGCTTTCTCTAGACCTTTTAAGATTTATTTAGCCTACTTATACCAGAAATATTAGGGTATTTATACTCTAACAGACTATACTAGTACAAAGACAGCTGCACACAGGTCACGAAAGCCAAAACAAAATATAAAAGTATCAGGATATATTGGAAGATGATGGAATTCAGAATCTTGAGATTTAGAGGCTTTTCATTCATGACATTGGTGTTTTAACACAATATGAGAGCAAGCACTCCTGTAGATTGCCCTCGGTTGTGAGCAGGGGTAGTGGATATCACCACCTTGGCACGATTTGTAATTAATACTAATTAGCCTGTTGTATGATGGCGATGCCGCTGTTATTTTTAATAAACGATGTGATAGAAAGTAGAATAGAGACAGCCTTAGCGATCGTGTTTCCTCAAAAAAATTCCAACAATGCGAAGCTACGAGTAGCTGTCATAGTAACCGAGAGCCTCCATCCACTCACCTTGCAACCATCCCAATCAGGCTAAAACAAACGACCTCCAATTGTCCTTTCTGATATGGTGAGGCACTTCTGTAGCCGGAGTAATTTGCCAAGAAATTATTGCTCAACTTCGAGCTGCAAAGGCGTTTCAACAACCCCTCTGGTGAGAATTATAGCTCTATTAGATGATACAGTAGGAGGTCCTCTACACATTAATAGAGAGAAAATGAAAATACCACAAGTTTTCATGGAGTTATAAGGGTTTAAAACTAGGTGAACTTTTGAGGAATGTCCAGAGCATGTTAATTTCTGTTAATATCCTTGGCACAGTTAGTTAATGCATGTTTGCCAAGAGAATAACCTCTATTAAGTCTACTGCTTGGCATATTACCTTACTATTGATAAGCCGTGATGAATGTCCGCCCGCTCCGGCTACTGACGTCCCTCACCATAGCCCCATGGTGGCGCGCCCGGGTTCCAAAATAATAAAAAACAGTCCTCCACACGTCCCCCTCCGCACACAAAAAAACACAGAAGGGACCTTTCCGATTCTCAACTCCAGGCCTTGACCAACAATCAACAACCAACGAGCATCAACAACAATCAACCGCTCAGCTGTCAGCGGAAATCGCCAAAATGCCCAACACGTATGATTCCCTACGATCTTGATTTCCTTCATTTTCAGCATTGGCCTTCGCACGCTGGTGACCGCTTTTCCTGAGAATTGCATTCCAGCTCGATCTCATCTCTACTGGCGAATTCTGGGTTCAGATGATGCCTCGAGGTACTGGGCTGGAGCCGGCTATTGTTGATTCCTTCCTTAAACATATGCTGCTGTTGGGAATTGATTCTTTGCCCCTGGTTCATTGCCTCTGGGCGAGGTATTGGGTGTCGCAATTTTCATTCCCATCGGCATGTTTCCTCCTGAAGTTGTTTTCAGGGTCTTGTCGGATACGCTTGCAGGATCCTCTGATCCTTTCTTTCCCAAAGAAAATGATCTATGAGGACCAAGTCTTTCTTACCGATTCAATTCATGTCGTCGAGTGCACCAGCATTTTGAGCAATAGAATGATTTCTGTGCTCGGCGCTAATATACTTACTTGCACGGCCACTGACGTTGCTGGAATAGTACCGTTCCCACCGCCGACCAAATCCTCGTCCCAGAGACACTTCTTAAAAAGCGCAAGGCTCAGCAGAAGACTGCCGAGGAGCGTGTTGCGGCTGCTGAGACAAGAAAGAAGGTAATTTCACACTCTTTCTTTCTTTCTTTGCGCAAGTATAAGAGGAGGGGGCTATTCGGTGATGATATCCACAATATGCGCGACTAGCTACGGCAATGCTGTTGCTTCGTTAACCATCTTTCGGGGCTGAGAATTCCTCTTGTTTCCCTCCATGCATTCACACGGTTTCCAATTGAACATGTGCTGATTATCCAACATCATAGGACAATAAGGCCAAACGCGAAGTTATTTTCAAGCGTGCCGAGAAGTATGTGAAAGAGTACCGTGAGGCCGAGCGCGAGAAGATCCGTCTTGCCCGCGATGCCAAGAAGGAGGGCAGCTTCTATGTCCCTGCTCAGCCGAAGCTAGTCTTTGTTGTCCGTATCAAGGGGTTTGTATTTGATCCCAAGCCGTTAGAACATCAAGCTTATTGTCGAGAGTAGTATCAACAAGATTGCCCCCAAGCCTCGCAAGATTCTTCAACTCCTTCGTCTCCTCCAGATCAACAACGGTGTCTTCGTCCGACTTACCAAGGCCACGGCTGAGATGCTTCGTGTCGTTGAGCCATGGATTGCCTACGGTGAACCTAATCTTAAGTCTGTCCGTGAGTTGATCTACAAGCGTGGCTACGGAAAGATTGACCGCCAGAGAATTCCCTTGGTATATTCCCTCTCGCCATCCGCTACCCCCCAGTATCAAACTAACACAATATCCCAGACCGACAACAAGCTCATTGAGGAGAACTTGGGCAAGTATGGCATCATTTCCATCGAGGATCTTATTCACGAGATCTACACTGTCGGCCCCAACTTCAAGCAAGCCTCCAACTTTCTCTGGCCCTTCAAGCTCTCTTCCCCCAACGGTGGTTTCCGCACTCGAAAATTTAAGCACTTTGTCGAGGGTGGTGACTTGGGTGACCGCGAGCAGTTCATTAACCAGCTCATCCGTAAGATGAACTAGAGATTGGTGGCTGTCACCTTTCCTGGCCCCTTCCCCCTTGCCGCAGATTCCAATAAACAAAAGCCTCTTTTCCTACCTACTCCTCATTGTTCTCCTAGGCGATAGTTATTTTCGAATTCAGGCGTTGGTTCTCCCTTGTGTTACTGCGAAGCATCCGGCTGTGTGCTTGGTAAAGTTGAATTGTGAAGCTTCCTGCCCTTGCCACGTGGTAGCCGTGATTCCATAATATCAAGCCAGTCTCCTTGACATCACTCGCACCTTCGATTCGCCCTTAGAACATATTGTTGTGACGAATTACACGTATGACGCCGGTAGATACCTGTTCTCTATCTCACAACACTTGGCACTACTACATGAATATCCCCAGCGGCGACGCATTACGACGGACGACCTCGGATCAATTTCCAAAACTCACTAACGTTAACCCAGTACCCACTCACCAAAGTGGTACGCAAACGCCCCCCTCCGCTCACCACAATCGCTCCGGTTTAATAAAAAATCCTTTATTAACCATCACAAAAAATCACCCTTGCTCATATCGGACGCGACCCAAGCAGTTTCTTTTGCCCATATCTCTACCTAATCCCACGATCAAGGAGCGCTTTCATGTATACCGAAAGAGAAACCTGTCCAACGCACACCAACTGCTGGCCCATCCCACTAGATTCCCCGCTTCCGCAGCCCCTGTCTCCCATCCGGGACAGGTCAGGCCATAATACGGCACGGGTGTTAGTTAATATTGATGCGGGGGTTTTTTCCACCACGCTAACATAGTACTGTACTGGGTGCTCAAGTAAAATACTCTCCCGTGATACTGTAGCGCCTAGGAATGTGAGAGGATAGTAAGGTAGTGGAAGGTGTTCATGGGGCTTGATATGGGCAGGGTTCGAGTTTCAGCATTACCGCGGTGTTCATATATAGTAGTACCAAAGTCTATCCCCCATCGCCATTCCATGGTATTTTGTTTATGGTTCGGAACTGAATAGCCCACGGCACAGTATCCACGGTAACCGTATTTCAAGTATGGTTCCGGAAGACTCGTGCCAGGACCAACTTTCTCACAAAAACTGACAGTTATTGACGTGGCCGAAACTGTAATGCTGGTTAAGAGACCAGGTAATAACATAAATACAAACAGCATTCTATGCTATTACCTTACTTGGCAAAAGAAAACTTCTTATAATAGGTCTCTTAACCAGCATTACAGTTTCGGTCACATCAATAACTGTCACAGTTTTTGTGAGAAAGTTGGTCCTGGCACTAGCCTTCCGGAACCATAAGGAGATTCATTAGCATTGAAGCTTGTGGCCAAATTTCCGGAGACGCCAAGACTGGCCATCTCTTTCACTTTCCCTTCCTTCACCGTATTTCATCACCCAGCCTCTCGCACAGACTGCCGGGCTCAATCCCGGGAGCAGGAACAGCGTACCACAGCACAGGGCAGCCAAAATATACTATTCCCTCCTCCTCCTCATCTCATACAAAGCCCTCCGCTAACGCCACTTCTGCAGCAAACCACTCCCACCTCAATCCACGCAAAATGTCCTCCCCCCCACCTGAAGTCCCTGAAGAAGTCGACGTAGTCAACGCAATCGCACCCCCCGACAAACTCCACATCCGCTACTCCAATGAAACCACCAGCAATCGCCGCTGGCGGCACGTCCCCTTCGACATCTCCGCTATTACACCTGGCGACATCGGCGGCCTTTACGCCGCGCTATGCAGCACAATTACAACCGACCTGCAGCGTCTCCAGTACGAACGCAAGCTAGCCTCTAAGCGCGCCAGCTCCTTTGGCATAAGCTCACCGGCTCCTGGGGCGGAAGCCCGGTATGAGCCCCTCAACTGCGAGTTGAGAATCGAGTATTGTAGGCTCTTGGACAAGAGTGGGAAGCTGGTGCTGCCGCCGCTGGGGAAGGCGAATGTTGTGGTTGCTGAAAGTAAAGAGGATTGGGAGAGAGCGGGGGGGAGGTCAAGGAGGATGGATTTGGTGGAGTGGCTGCTGAGTGCTGCAGTGGTTGGAGTGGTTGGGGCCACTAGCGAGGAGGGAGCGGTGGCGTGGGGAGAGGAGGTGTTACAGGGGTTGTTGTTTGAAGAGGGTGTTAATTGGCCGTGGTATAGTATTTCAGCTAGCTTTGTGTTCGGTATGTATCCATGCCTAAGCATCGCTCGGGGGTGCACAATGCTAATCCTTTTCTTTTTTTGCTTGTATCTAGAGTCACGTTTAGACTTGGTCTTAAAACACCACGCCGGCCTGGCGGCATCAGGAATCGATCCACAAACCTTCTTTCCAATTCCGCCCCCACATCCAGCTAAATCACCATCTCCTCCCGCTGTCCCGGAGAAAGACGCCAAGCCCGCTCCGGCAGCGGCGGCACCAGCAAATGCAAGCAGAAGTCGCAAGGTCGAGCTAGTGAGAGCGAAGTCTAAGAGCGCCTTCACCATGAAGTCACTTATCAAAAGCTAGCCTCTGCTCTCTCTCCCTCTCTCTTTTCTTTTTTCCCGCCTCATCATGTCGTGTTTCAGAGACCCATCTTTCCCTTTTTCCCGCTTAAAGTGAATCTTCACGACTGCCATCTGATGGAAAGGCCTCTCTATGTTTTGGTAAACTACCGCTATGGTGGCACTCTAGCAATAGTCTATTTATACACCTCCATAACCTTCAATACGTCACCGCACCACAGTACCGTGCTCTCTCACTCAATATTTCAAGAAACCTCGTACCGCAGCAGGAGGAAAGCATACAACAGTCTCCCAAAGTAGCCCAGCCAATACACCGCTGGCAAGACCGCAACACCCTACACGGGGGTGCAGCCCCGTATCGTATACACCCAAACCCACTTCGAGACCAAACAGTTATCAACACCCACTCCATACCCCGCCCATGCCCAGAACATACCACAACCCCATCCTACCCCATCTGCTCTCGTACGATACGCATGCCCACTATAACCGTCTCCAGTTAATCCCCCAAATCCCCTTCGCATGGCTCCAAGCGAGCAGACATGATACGGCAACATCCGGACTCATACGGTATACAACCTACCGCAGCTATAAACAAGAGGCCAATCCTTAAACAGTTGAAGGACCTAACAAAAAAGTATATAATATTATTATATAAAAAAAAATAGAGAACCATCCCCGTTTTCACTCTCAGCTTGCCCCGATATCGGTGCTCGAGTGCCATATACACAAAGCCGCTCCGGACGTAGCCGGAAGCAAATCCTAGCTCTCCCATCTCTTCCCTTTTTGGGAATTTCGGGATCTCTCTTGGAGGCGTGGATATAGTCATACCCGCACCTTGCTATCGTATTACGAATGAACGGTTTTGGGGCCGGAATTCACGGGAGGGCGCGGCGTGCAGTATCGTGAAATAGGCTCCCGGATTTTCCCCACTGTTGGCCGTGGGGTAGCAAGGCAGGGGTGGCAGAGGGGGGTGTCTGGGGAGGGTTTGGTGTTGGGTGGATTAAACTATGATACCGGAGGGTGTGTCCTTAGCCCTTCTCAGACCTGCTCTTCCTGATTTATAGTGTGATATCGGGAGAATGCTTGCAGCTTATACCGTGCGGATACTAAGGACAATGGCCTGGAAGGTGGTTTTACGAGATACTTTGGTTGTTTCCTTTCCCGAAATTCTCCCTGTATGGGCATGAATACTCGAGTATAAGTTGAGTCTTTGGCGGGAATGGTGATTACATGTTTGGGGTGCAGTTCCAGGATTAGGCCCTGAGGCGTTCTAGTGGACATCCATATAAGTAACTTGCTGTTGGCGCAAAGATTCTCGGACAGGGCGACCCTCACGAGGGCCCACCCGTTTTAGCTCACTTGCGCAGGTACAATAGTCTCACGAGGGGGTCTCAAAGTCGGAAGGGTTCTTTCCCAACGACAAGCACACCACCCTTCCAGTGGCATATCTGAGCGCGTCAAGGTAACCAGAGGTGAAACAGAATCTCAAAACCTAGTAACCTCTCAGTAGAGAGTAGAGATGGTAGTCAATTACTTTTGGTATGGGTTGTAATACCTGATTTCTTCTTTCCCTTCTCGCTGCGCGCGTCGCCCTCCCACTTCTGGGCTCGAGTAGAGATCTGTTATCCAGAATTTTGGGATTGTTATGGCACTTTTTGACCTCCGTATGACCCCCCCCCCCAAAAAAAAAAAGGTATGATAGTAGGGATTTAAAGTTAAAACAGTTGAAAAAAGCAACTTCTCCCCATCTTGCTTCGCTGTTTCATGCAAACTTCGCACACACAAAAATGGTTAACTTGCCATTACTTCAATTCGCCCGACCACACAATACCAACTTTTCAGGTTGGGATCATAGTCAAAAAGCCCCTAATGGGGATAGAACAGAACTTTACGAGAAGCAAGACTCCCGAGCCGAGTATCCATGAAGCAGGGCAAAGTAAATCGAGAAGTAGATATCAGAGTATCATACCCATGTCATAACCGAAATCACTCACAATATCCACCCAAAACCTCTCAACCACGTGTTTTCTGTTAGCACCAACATACACACAGCTCAGGTTGCCTTGGCGCAGGCAAATATCTTACCAGAAATGCCAGGACATTATTATCTGCTAACACTATGAAGGAGGCTAATGCAGGCTCCCGTGATTACTGAGAAGGAATGAATGAGTATTATTCTTTAGTCTTGAATACCCTTAGCATCGTAAAGGAAAGGTAACCGTTTTTGCGTGCGTCGGGTTTACACGAAACGGCTAAGTTAAGTATGATATGTCTCGTGGCCTTGGCATGTGCGAGTAGTATTGTAGAGTACTCGTACTGTGCTCTTACTGTACAACAAAGTGAAGTGACACTGTATCACGAAGAAGCGGGTCCACAAAGCACGCTGATCCCGACATCCCTGGCCTGCCACAGCGGAATGCGAGAAGGGCTTTAGAATACTCGCATCATCCATTGCAGGCGCGTCTGGTTAATATACTTGTATCATACCATTATATAATTACATACAATCAATACAATCCCGAGCCCCGCTCACGCCTGGAACAAACCATTGGATTCTCAAAGTTGAATCTGGTGAATAATGCTACGGAGAATGGTAGAAAAAAAATTATAAATGAATAAATAAATAAAAAGGGGGGAACCAGTCAATTCACAAGATTTCCCTTTTCTCGAAAATCACTTCTGAGCTTTTAGCATAATTAAACGGGAAGAAGCCTTGCCTATCCTTGTGTTAAAATGCTTTCACAGGATACCGTACCGGTACCCAATCAGGGACATTTGTATGCACAGTATACGGAATGTCTAATTCACTACGGTAGTTCTTGCCCCCTCGAAAATCTAATGAAGAAATGGAGGGCTCGTTATAATAAAGAATACTGAAGAGTAACAGTCCTAAATGTCGGAAAAATTACAATGCCCAGCATTCCGTAACGTTTAGAAACCGTTGAAGAGGAAGGGGAAAAATAACACGGCTCCAACAGCGGAACTGTCTCGGTGCAGGTTTCTATCGATTGATCGCCACGGTACTACGGTATGAGTGCTTGACCCTCCAAGCCAAGAACTAGCACCCATTTGCCATCACCACAAAGGGTGTCCATTCTTACCGCTGAGATGCGAGCACAATCCAGTCGGAGCTCCGATCATCTCGCTCCTTCAGTCGCTCCTTGAACCCATTTTCGCAAACGCCGCGAAAGCCCACGCTCCTACGCTTCCAAACCGGTTCATCATCCAGTTATTATTCCCACCCTTTCTCCATCTTTCCTCTTCGGGAATACCGGTACCATTGTTTGCAGGGGTGAATGTTTAGCAGGATTCTGGTTGCACCCCGCTATCCCGTATCCCAGCCAACCGGATACCCCCCTTGAACCGTAGAAACTCCGTATCTGCCCCCAATCCCCACAGAAAAGCACTCACCTGGCAGGAACACAAGGGTATCCGGATCCGCACTGTGCAAGGAACTTGGAGCACCTTACCCCCTGTTCCGAGGCAATTTCATTCCGCTAAACCGTATTCCTATGGTAGGCTTAAAATGACCACGGGCACCGGTGGTATTCTACACCCTTTCCCCCGCATAAATCTGCGTCGAAGGCCTTCGCGCAGCGCACCAGTACTAGTACAAGCAGTGATCACCAATGCTCGTGTAATATCACTCGTTTCCCGATTTCTAATTCAAACTGCCCAACACCGTTGATCTCCTATTATACGCAGGCACTGCTAAGGGGAATGGAGAAAGGACAAATTTTCTCCAGGTCGTACGAGTGGGGATTCGGAGTGGTGCTATTCGTGCGGAGCCCACTATAACAATGCAATGTGAAAAGGGTCTCTCTATTTAACCCTAATCGCCCGGCATTTTGCTTCCCTTCCTTGTCTCCTCGGCCCTTCGAGGGGTCCATAAATGGACACCACGGTGCCTTCGAGAATCCCCAACACTAAGCCATTTCCGCTACAGTAAGAGCATGGTACAAGTAAATCATCATCGAGCTCTCGAGACAGATCCCGCAGGGCGTCCACATCTGTATGCGTGTGGGCATGTGCTTCGTGATACATACCGCAATTGCGCAGCACTGTTGGCCTCTTAAAAAAATTTTAACTTGGCGGGTGGACAGGAAGAGCCATATGAAGTACTCGAGTATGATATCTGGGATAGCGAAGGGTGTTCCATTTGGCCAGTGGGGGGAGTCCTAGAATATTTTGGTCACTTTCAGTTGAGTTGTGTGCTGGAATGAATGGGTTGGAAAGAGGCGCTTTAGGGTCAACCCTGATCCCTGTGCGAGAGCGGGTATGGATACTGTATGGGGACCGCGATGCCCGGCCGCAAGGCACTTCCTTAGGTATGGGGGGGTTCGGCGACGATGGTAATAAGGGAAAACTGACACAATGCCCGAGAATTCGAGAGCACGGGCACCCACTGTCTGTCAGTCCTATTGTTTCACGGTGTATGGGTATGACACTCGCAAAGCACAACTAAATTTAGTTAGGGAAACATTTCAGATATCATGGGAACTATCGGGCGCATGGGATCGTTATGACGTCACTCTTGGTGAAAAAGGAAAAGACTAGAAAAACTGAGATTGCTTAAAACCTGCTGGTACGATATCTCTCTAAATTTTCCTTATCATTTATAAGACAAACCGAGGGAATAGGGTGATTTTTCTGGAGGATATCCTTCAGGTTATCGGGTGAGGGAGCTGCCCAAAACATGGAGGTTTTAAGCAAGAGCCATTACAATCAACCACCTTTGCTCTTCTCATCCTTTTTGCACTTAATTTTTTGATAAGTTAACCCAAAGGGAAGATCTCAAATTTCTGATGATACATTCCCAGGGCAATGGTATCCGCAAGATTTTATTGCCAAGAGCATGGCACTTAAAGGATTACACATTTAGTCCTGCTCCATCATATTTAGACCAACCAATGGACATCATGTCAAGGCCGTGAGTACCCATGCTATAAAACCCGTGGGTATTGTATCAGTTTTCCGTAATAATGATGATGACGACGATGATGATAACGTTCACCACGAAACACCTCTGGTCGTCTGATACCAAGTTGCGACCCAGCCACCGTAATCGATCGCAGCCAGCTACAGCACTTGCCACACGAAAAAAGTATCATACCGGTACCCGAACAGAAGAACCAAACAAATGGATGGCCAACTGCCCGCGCTCCCCGGTGGTACCGGCTCCGGCATACCCGTGACCGCTCGGTTTATAGAGACCATTGTCGAGGGGGGCGATGGGCAAGAACATACAAGTCCGGGTACGGTACCACATTCGGGCCAGATGAGGACCACCCAATACCCGCTAGCCAATTGGGGAGGACAATCGGGTTTGATCTCCAGTCCGCTTCGAGGCTCCTCCCCTATTTCTTCTCGATATATGATAGCATAACTTATCCCAATGCCAACCTTAGACCCCTCCTCCCCCTTGGCAACGGTCCCCACAAACCGAGTGGTTACGGTGGTGTGAATTCGGAGGCCGAATATTAGGGTACGGTGCAGGGGTCTGGGATAAAACAACCCTATCGCACATTGCTAAGATCACAGACGCAGCAGGAAACCAGATCAACATGGCCGTGAGTGGACCTCTACGGTATTTCCTCTCGTCTCGGCCAACTTTGAATGAATATCATTGATGAACCCGGCCTCCAACTCAATTACTTCCATCAGAACGATAGCTCTCTCTGGGCTCTTGTTGAGCAATGGAAGGCTTGTGTTTCTGGCGAGTCGGTTGCGACATACCGGCATCGTACCACCGGCACTACCGGTAATTTTTCTTTGACCAATACGGTATTAACTTCGAACCCCTGCCCCATACCACTTTCCTACTGTATGCTCGACCCTTGACCTTTTGTCTGTACTGTAACAAGTAGGGTGCGCTACTCGCGCGTTGTTACTCGAGTATGATACAACAGCTGTCCTCGGCATCATCACTACGGTAAAACTCTTGGAATCCGCTATCTCCGCTAGCCCTGCAATCTCCGGATTCAGAGAAAACGGCTCGGGTGAAGAATTAGTGTCTCCCTAACACAATAAGATCATCTCACTGGACGTGCTGGATCTCGCCAACTCGCATGATGGTATTCGTAATTGTGCTAACCCGCCAAACTAAACCCATCGTAGGCTGATGGGCTGATTTGGGCCGATAATCCAATACCGGTAGTAGATTCCAAGAGTTCTCGCGGTATGATGCCAGAACAGAAACCCGCCGCAGACGGACCCGAGAAGGCGACCGTTCAACGGATCGGCAGCCGTATTAACGAGAGACCAGAGATGTGCATCCGGTACTGAGGTTTCCCTCAAAAGGAACCTACAAGTACTGTACGGGTACTCTGCTCACTCTATACGTTCCTAATCCTCTGACCCTCTCTACCCCAGAGTGCCGTCTTCTGCCGTTACCGTACCATGCGATGGCGCAAGTACAGTACCATACTCGAGTATACAAGTGCCGGTCCAGGTTCCCGCCAATAGCTTTTCCCGCTCCTGTACGGTACTCGTACAAGGACCGTACTACCAGTACGGTACCGGTACCCCAAAATTATTCCAATTTCGCCTTTTCGCAACTGTAAGGGCGCCTGTGCTACGGTAGCGAGCACAATTGCGGCCCAACCTGGAGAAGGGGCGAGGAAATAAAGCAAAAAGGATAAAAAACTGACCTCCGATACAAAGCATTGTGCAACAAAAGCAAAAGAGACACCTCCACGCAGAGAACACCGGCACCGTAAAAAGTTATTGTTCGTTAGTACAAGTACGGTACGGACTGGGCTGTCCGCCAAGCGAGTCGTACATCAGGGATCGCTGTTTCTCGCTTCTGAGTTTCCTCCCAGCATTCCCGGGGACACCTCTGGGTTATGTGGAGAGTGTCATAGTTCCAGTTATACCGTAGCGGTCTTCACGCCGTGCTCTCTGGGCCCTGACAAATGGAGGCGCTTAGGGATGGGGGCTAACAAATACAACTCTCGGGAATCCTGGCGACATCTGAGAAATGTGGCGGTGATCTGCTGATTGGGCTATGATATGATGGTGGGGAGAGTGATTGAATGTGATTCTAACTGTAGTTGCTTCTCGTGCGCAATGCTAGCACTGACACTTTGAGAATTGCTTGGGAGGATAGTTGCTCCTCTGCGGGGCATTGGTAATTACGGTAGCGAGGCTTCCGGCAGTAGTCAATAATCCACTTTGGGTAGTACTGCACAGTACTCGTACTCTTCCCATCCGCCCCCCCCCGTCTCTACATCCCACGTGGGCGGGGCTTGAGAAGCTGGAAGAGGAATTTGTGGTTTCCTCGGTGCTAGAGCATACAATATCCATTGCACTTCTGCCCCTCGAGCCCTCTCAAGCATTTTCAGATATCATTTACCAGTTACAGGAGACTACGCTAAGTATGATATTATGATACATCTTCCAGATTGCACTACCCACCGCGCTCAAGCCCCCCAACCACTCCCTCTCTTCCTCGATGAGACCCAATCAATATTATGCAACAACTCTTCACCAATATATCTCCTAATCCCAACTCCCTGGGATATAAATCCCCACTCTTCCCCACATCGTCCCTCTGAAGACCCTAATCAGAAGGAAAAAAACAAATACCTCCCCCCCCTCACCCACCCAATTAATAGTATTTGCTGAGCACACCTACGAACCCATTCACCCTTCGCAATCATGGCATTCACACCAGAACAATTCTTCGGCTGGATCCTCGCAGTGGGGGTAATATTCTTCACCTTCGTAGCTCTCCGCTTCTACGTCCGGCGGAACCAAAAGTTCAACAAGTTTTCCATCGCCAGTGACGCTTTCCTTCTCACCTCCACCGCATTCGCGCTCGTGACAGTTGGCTATATGTGCTACGAGTCGCTGCACGAAATCGAGGTTCGAAGTAACCATCCGGAATGGAAGGAAGCGGAGATCTACCACAAGATCTTTACGGATAGGGATGGTTTGATTCTCAAGGTAACTTTTTTAACATTCCCCAATGCCAATCATCGCGAGGAGAGAGAGAAAGCTCACTGATTTTTGGGGATGGGGGCGGTGGGGTGGGAGGGGAAGTTTGTATATTTCCTTGGGTTGGGCTATATGGTCGAGCTGTGGTGCATCAAAGCGGCTTTTGTCCTGTTCTATTGGAATTTGTTCTCCAAGATCCAGGGTCAGAAGAGGTTCGCACTTTATGCCACGAGCTTCTTCATTCCGGCTACGTTTGTAGTCGTTATCATTACCTTCTTTACCCATTGTAGGCCCGTGGCCATTTCCTGGTATGTTCGTGTGTATGCGTGTGTGAGCCAAGTGTGTAAGTATGATAAACTAATATTTAGATAGGGATTTAAAACTTATCCTAAAGCATGGCAGACGGTGTACTCCAAACACAGCAAAATCGGTACAATGGCTATTGAGTAGCTCTAATATCATCACTGACCTCATGCGTACTTCTCCCCTCCTCCTCGTCCCATTCTGTCATCCGAAAAAAAGAACTAGAATCTAACAAAAAAAAAAAAACAAGTAATGGCGGTCCCCCTCCTCGTAATCCGCTCCTTCCGCCTCACACGCATAGACACCTACGCAGTAGCCTTCGTCTTCCTAATAGGCATAATCTCCATCAGCGCAACAATTGTGCGAATTTTCTACCTCAACCAAACCGGCGTCTTCGAGCCGGACTTCCACGGGAACATCACGCTACAGCAACAACACCACTTCGAGCTCATCTCCTCCGTGGAGGTTCTCGCTGCGCTGATAGCATTCTGCTTACCGGCGTTCAGGTTCCTTCTCAAGGTCAATTTCGTCAGGGGAGGACCGGGTATTAGCTCACTAAGCTGGGCGAGCGCGAGGTTTAGGAGTGTGGGGGGTGGTAGGGATGCCGACAACGGGATTTATCCCAGGAACGAGCCCAAGGGGATCGAAGAGGCGATGAGGGTGGATTTGGAGGGTGGCAGGTTTGCAGTGCAGGGGAAGGGGGCTCCTAGCACCGAGATGATTATTATTAGGAAGGGTTCAGAAGAGGAGGGGTCAGAGGAGGAGGATGGAGAGAGGAGCCCGCCGAGAGGTACTCGTACAATTTAACGCTGCCGGGAGGTGCAACCGGCGGCCTCCCTATGCACTCGTGGGACGTGGGGCTTTGATGAAATATCATACAGTATGATTTACGAATTTATGTGTTTATTCCGAATTCCAGCCAGCAAATTCTAGCCAGCAATGGGTATGGCAATAAAACTAGTAAACAATTAGTGGGGCACAATCGCCGTGTGATCGTTGAACTGCCCAAGTCTCGGCAAGCATCGGGAGGGCCACTCTGCCAACAGCTCTAGCTCTTGATACAGTACCCCCCGCATCGAGCAGCTCCTAACTCACCTCCCCTTGCATTACCATCCCCAACCCTTCCGGGTGTGTGCAAGCCCCGCACCCTACGATATTTGTTCGGCGAGCACCCAGTACCTACTGTATCCTAGCATTCCGAGTGATACGCCATGACGAATCCTAGCACATCTTCACTTCTCAGTTCCCGTTAACTTCTAACCATACCATCTCAGCCTAATTATGCGAGATACTGTATCCTACAAGTTGTCTCAAAGCTTGATAGGATAATCAATCCGGTCATACCTTTTCTTCCTTCTACCCGAGCCCTAAGCCCGGCAGGGATGAGGCATCCCTGGCAGGGCGGACAGAATAATGATTATGATAATAATAATTATTATGATCGAAGTAGAACAAAACCGGAATCAACATAACATCTCTGACTCGACCAAAGGCACAAAGAAAGGCTCCCGCAAGATATCCACACACGGTATCCAGGAGCCGATCTCGGACCAATTACGGGAAAGGGGACAAAGTCGTTTCCAACTCCCTCGAGGCTCCAAAGAGCTTACACTCATAGCCCAGAGCGATATGATACCGACCCGCTATTTCTCCTCTACTCATTTAGGCAAACCGCTAGAGGCTTATAGTATCATGCAGGGGGTCCCCGTTCACGCCCAGACCAGTGAGCGTAACCGTACCGTCGCACTTATGGTCGGATTGTCTTTGCCCACAACCACAAGATGTGTTCGAGTGAGCTGCCCTAGAAGCGTGAATGCTCGTCTATTACTATCCATGATATATGGCTCGGTACCCCTGTAAACCGCAAGTGCGAGTACGGCACTCGAGTACTGTAGCAGTACAGTACAAAATGTGCCTGTACGGGTACAAGCACGGCGACAGCGATCTGCCGTGAAGGCATTACAGTAGGGGCCTGGCCGAGCTACCCCGCATGCGCAGGCAGAAAGGATGCTCGAGTACCGGGACTTCACACATCGTAAAAACCCCCGCCATCGGTAGGTGACCGTGGTCTATAGAGGATCATACACCAAAACCGGTATTTCAATACCTGCGAACCCCACCAGTAACTTTTTTTTTTTTTTTTTTTTTAAAAAAAAAAAAAGGTCAACCACCATACTCTGGCGGCTCCTAGAAATGACCAAGGGACATATCGATAATCCTCTGTTCTCGCAGAGATATAGCCACCCGAAATTTAGGAAATACATACTAATACTAATTGCCCGGGGGAAGTTACGGTAGCCCACTATTATCTTGCATCCTTAAAATATGTGACTCCATCGATCATCCATACTTACTGATTAATCAATCGAACTCGACATAAGGGTGCGCTTTGGCAGAATCCGTGTTTCAGCCGCGAGAACTACCTGTATGATATTACAATTCAAGTACTCGTAGTATTGTAAGTCAGCATGCTAATGGTACAGCACTATAGAGAAGTCGTACCAACGGCAGCCACCTTTCTCCCTTCCTTTTCCTTTGAGGTGGACGGAGAAGTGGGCAAGGGATCAATTTGCTATTCCTCTCCCACCCCTCTACCTCCCTCCCACCTTCGGCCCAGGCCTCTCCCGGAAAACGGCTTGCCCACATTTTGCGAATGCTTGTCTATGTTGTTTCACATCCACCGGTATCCCTTCCCATAAACCGTGATCAGCCCTCATCAGTGTTGGCGGTGACCAGGGCTGACCATGAATATGGTCAGTGACCAGTAGTCAGTAGAAGGGGGTGACGGGGGGTGATGGGTGGTCAGGGTTATGTTGGAATACCTACAATCAGGGGGACTACCTTTTGTCACCCATGATAGGTATTATAGCTGCAGTATGGAGGTACTGTACTCAAGTATTGTATACTTTACTGCTGTAGCAAGGGGTGCTCAGCAAGCATGGGTGGGCAGAGGCCTGATTTTCAGTGAAAGTTACGATTCTATTCCCACAAACCCTAACCCACATTTCATTGACCCCTGCTGTGATCAGCCCTGACCACTGGTCATGGCATAGTGGGGGTGACCAGTAGTTGTTGATTTTAGGGGTGACCAATGGTCACCGCCAACACTGGCCCTCATGGAGTCATGTTTGGCCTTTCGGCTACGGGTAGTAGCGTTGGTCGTTTGGATGGTTTCACCTGTGCGCTGCCGATATTTGCGGTGTGGCAGGTCGGTGTTTGGGTGAGCGAGTGGAAGGGAAGAGAAGCCAGTTTCAAGTGATGGGATTGGTGTTTTGTGATGCCACCACTCGTAAGGGGACGAGAGCCCGTTTTGAGGTACCGTGATATGTGCTCAGCATTATAGGTTTAAAATGCCGCTCGTGAGCGCACCAGTCCAGCTGCAGTGTTATAATATAGCATCTCCATGTCGTTCTTTTATTGCTCCCAGGTTGCTGGCTCGCAGAATTGCTATCGCCCCGTCTTGAGCATCAGAGGTTATCCACCGAGGGAATTGCCATAGAGAAGGGATTCCACCCCACCCTGTGTGCTTTTCGCTGGCCCCCATCGAACTTTTTGTCGTCCGGAATTCTTCCGAACGCGTTTTAGGACGTAAGTTAATGGTATCATACTGTACCCTAGTGTTCGAATAATACGGTATCATGCTGTACCAGTGTACCCGAGAGTGAGAATTCATGAACAAACGCACCCAACCACGTGTTGCAAACGGAAAGAACCTAGCGCATTAGGTTACCGGTATGTGCAAAAAGAAGAAAAAAAACCCTTGCGGCTCTTCTTGCTAATCACCAATACTCTCACTTCAATATTGTCAGTTCAATTACTGCCCCCACCATCACCGACAAACCAAAAGAACCAAATATGCCTTCGAGCACAATTGCGGAGAAAAAAGAGCGACTGTATGATCCTGCCCGCCCCCTCTCCCTTTCCGAACGACCAGGCTCACCCATCGCAGACTGGTCCTAGTTGAAAAGCCCATCCCGCTAGAATTCGACATGGGCAATCTCTGCGCTTTCGACACGAACCCACTCGACCCCACCGCCTATTCCAATTCTCTCGAAGAGTGTCTCAACGACGCCGCTAGGGACTGCGCTCAGGCTCTGATTAATCAAGTGCTCACCACGCTTCCCATGAAGAGCGCTTCAGATGGGGTTTATGCTGAGTTGCCGGATCCTACGACCCCACTACCGAGGGAGAAGCCGCTACCGAAGGCTAAGGAGCCTACGAAATGGTTTGTTCACTAATTTTTTACACACACTCACTCTCTCCCTCTCTCTCCCCCTCTCTCTTTTCGCCTCTCCTCTTCCTCCTTTCGTCCCGGCGGAGGGGGTCATGGCAAGCGAGCTGACATGGGAACAGGGAACTATTTGCGAAGAAGAAGGGCATCAAGTCCAAGACCAAAGATGGCAAGCTCGTGTATGACGAGGAGAAGGGCGAGTGGGTTCCCAAGTGGGGGTATAAGGGAAAGAACAAGGATGGCGAAGGCGATTGGATTGTTGAGGTCGACGGGAAGGGTGAGAAGGAGAAGGGCGAGGACAAGAACCCACGGGCTCTCAGTAGAGAGGAGAGAAAGGATCGGATCAAGAAGAATGAGAGACAGATGAAGAAAAATGAAAAGAGGGCCGCGGCAGGGGGTAAAAGTCTGGCTACTCGGGGTGGGAGGGTCGGAAAGAGATAAAATTGGGAAGAGGGAGGGAACCAGGGCATATTTACCAAGTAATATGGCGTTCAAAAGTCCACTTTTATGTACAGTATCCGGTACACAAATTCTGTAGTTATAATTTTGCCATTGCCTTCCGAATTTCTGGTGTTTGTACTGTACGGTATCCCTTTTCTCCCTTTCAACCCACAGAATTCCATCCACGCAGAGTTGTTTTTTTCCTCGACCCCACGGTAACTTAACCGCTTCTGCGTTGCTCAACACGCGCAGAGAACCCCCCGACCCAACGCGTTCCCAGCGCACCGAGGCGATATTCCAGAGACAACGATTCCCTTCCACCAACTCCCCCCATCGCACTCCCCACGACGTCAAGAGGAGGAGCGCCGGATCTCACAGCTTACAATAATGTCCGATCAACCGCCTTGCTTCCTATACAAGGAGACACGCGTGAATCTTGACTGGGACGACTCCTATGGAAATATTCTTAACATCTTCCTGCCAATCCACCATTCTGGACCCACCAGACGAACCTCCTCGCACACAAACATCGTCAAGAAGCCCGAACCCGACAAGCCAGATACCCTGTTCCAGTACAGGCACCTTGCTACCGCGGCCTCAGTATACTATCGACCGATCGAGCGATACCCCCGATGTATCCTGTGGAGAGTCTTGGAGGAGGCGCAGGTACTCTCACTAACATCGGTGGACTTTACCAAACCACACGATACGCGGGGGGAGTTCTCTAGCACATTTAGATTTTACTTCCCGGATACAATCAGGCCGGGATGTGTTGGGTTTGCGGATGCTCCCAATAAGGATGAGCTGGTAGTCTATGTCATGACCACCGGGAACATCATTTACACATTGAACCTATCGGCGGATTTCTTCCTCCGGGGTGCGGTTACCAGGAAGACTTCGAAGGATAGCGATTATTGCAGAACCTTCTCGCCTTCCTCGTTTACCCTACATTCACCGCACTATCTCATAGCCATAGATCATGAGACTTTGCTTGTTTCGCTGCAGGATGGTGTGCTACTTAAGCTTGAGAAGAGTGAGACATTGCCCGAAGGTGTGTTGGTTTGGCCGCAGAGTTTGTTTGATTTCGCGCTGACGGTGGCGTAGATCCCGAAATGTCAGTGTCACGATACGCCGAAAAGACTTTCAGTGAAGGCACCTATATGGCTTTCTTCAAAAATAGGATGCCATACTTTAGGCCCGGGACCGTCAAGCACGGCCGCGACAGTGTTTCGTTTTCAGCAGTTATATCTTCGGCGGTCTATTTCCCACGGCGGCACGAAGACAGTATGGTGGAAGGGCATCAAGTCGACCCACTCTTGTTTACCGTATCGGTGGACCATACCCTGAAGACATGGTCATTAGATAAAGGTGTTCTGTTACACGCGACAGACTTGCTGAATGAAACTGCTCCTCCGTCGTCTAAAATGAAGACTCTGCTTTCCCCAGCATCATCTCAGCTTTTAACTGTGGTCGATACCTCGTTTCGGGACGACCACATGTTTTACCTCGTCAGCTTTTCCTCTGCAACAACCGGAAAGTTCAAATTTTGGGCTGCTCAGCAGGGTATCGACGGGGAATACCAGGGACTTGCGGACCTATACCCAGATGTGGAGTTTACGGCGGATCCACCTACGTTGAATTCTGTCTGGATGATATCTGAGTTCCGTGTCACACCCGTATCAGGCGACAACAACGGTCTACTCAACTTGTGGGTTCTTTGGAAGAGTAATACAACCTTTCGGGTGCAAAATCTACAATTCCACATTCTGAGCGTTGGGCAATACTGGAACACCTGGGTAACAGCAACTCCCGATTCTCTACACGGGCTTCCCGGAATCCCGCCGAGCAATGTCACCTCAGAGGATATCACGGATTATTGGATGGACTGGATATTCTGCCCCGGAAGATTCAGCGATTCTATCCTGCTTACAGCACTGGATATCCACCGGCTGTTCTATTGGGCGACTACTGGCTCCCCAGGTGACGACCCAGCAGATTCATTACAGAGTAGAGTTGCTAAAGCCATCCCCGGCGCTGTTGAATTGCACAAGACGGAGGATGGGTCGCCCGATTATGAAAGGTATAATCACGAGCTTAACACACAATGGGTGAGATATGCCCGCTTGTGTACCGAGCTCGACAAGCAACGGTGCGAAGCTCTATCCCTTGTCGCGGATCCTCACACAGGCTTCGTATGGACGGTAAACGCTGATGGAATCACCGCGTTACGAGAATGCACCGAATCCGAGATGATGCAACACAACCATCTCACCTTTGCATTGAACAAGGATATTCTCTCGCAGCGGTCGCCTCGGAAGCTTGGGGCTGCATTGGCGAATACAGAGTTATCTGATGCCATGCTTTTGGTGCAGGCTGCCACAAATTTGAGGAATAGTCTGACCGGAAAATCGTACGAAAATTGTCTGTGGAGGTTACAAAGGGAAGTGTTGGAGGATGGTGTGTATGCGCTCGAGGACCGGATGTTGTCCCTTTACCAGAATTGCCTGGACGGGGAGATTTCGGATGACGATTGGGATAAATTTGAGGAGACGACAGAGGCGATGAATGATCCACAGACGGCGTTTTGCTCTATATTGTCGAGTCTGTTCCAGGCTGAGGGACATGCTGGAGCGGCCAAGCTAACGGCATTTGGAGGGAAAGTGCTCGTGGCCGGGAGTCGTGAGGTCATTCATGTCAACCACGATATTTTGTTTGGCCTGGTGTTTGTCCTGCTTATGCTCGTCTTCGAGGGGGGGCATCCGAGAATCGATAGCCCCGACCCGCTATACCTGCAGCTCCTGAACTATATGCGAGAGTATGAAGTTCTAAACTGGATGGCGCGAACACCATTGTCGATCCCTGACTCTCGGCTTTCGGCGGACGATGAGCTCGCAAAAGGATTGGCAGGTCTGAAAGTCACTGGATCAGACCAGGCAGTCATTTTACAGAAAAGGAAAGGTTCAGTCCTTCAGTTGATGCTTTCTGAGAATTCCGGCCCTCCCCCGCACGGCCCTAGCAGAAGCGGCTCCGTGGCGATATCCGTGTGCATACGGCAATATTTGGCCAGCTTGGAACTCACGAATCACGGGAACGGGTTCGCAGATGTTGGCGCTGCGCTCTTGAGTATTAATGCTGCCGGAATTGCTATGGAATTCCAGAAGTACCTTCCCGCTACAAATTGGGGATTCTATGTGAGGGCGAGGATACAGTTGGCCGATCGCAGCAGAGGTACTGCTGCAGTAACCTTCAAGAAAGCTGCTTATGGGCTAGGTATTATTATTATTTTCGTTTTCTCCCTCTATTGGGACATCCCGCGCTAACACTTCTTTCAGCCGTGGCCAACCCAGCCCGCCATTCCACCATAAAATCACTCCTGAGTGAAATTGATCTTGAGACTTCTATCGGAAGGGGTCTACCGCAATATTATCTACATGTCGCATGTTTATTTGAGGAGGCAAAAGCGCTAGAATACCTCGTCGAGTTCTGTCAATTAGCCTCGACAGCGCTAGGAGACGAAGTAAGCACCCCTTCCCATTCCCGCCCTTCTCCCCCCACCTCTTCACTAACCCTCCATAGAACGGTTCCGCAATAAGAACAGAAATCCTCCTGAAACTTTTCCAATCAACATTATCCCTCTCCCTCTTTGATGAAGCCTACATAGCACTAACCCGCTACTCCAACAAACCCCTCCAAAGAACCGCCCTGCGGGAACTCGTCGGTGCAATGGTCGAACAAAATGAGGGCGCAAGACTATGCCAATACCCCTTCGTTGGTCTCCAGGATGACGTGGACGAAGCTCTGGCATTCAAGTGCTCCACAATAATGGACGTGTCTGCAGGCCCGCAGTTCCACAAAGTCCTGTACGCGTGGAGGACGCAGCGGGGCGATTACAGAGGAGGTATGGCGTGCCCTTACCCTACCCCAAGTGAGTTGCGGGTACTGATTTGTAAACGAATAATAAAGCGGCATCAATCCTCTACGAACGCCTCCAACGCCTGCAAACTGCAAATATCGGCTCCGCCGACCCTAGCTCATGCAATGTCTCCGACGGCTTCCTGGTCTTGCTCAACGCACTATCGTGTGTTGGCGAGGAGCAAGCCTGGATATTATCCACCAAACGCGCGGAAGGGGACGATATTACCGGCGCTGGGAATACGAAGCGGGCGAAGCTCGCTAATAGTATGGCCTTCCTTCCCCCCCCCCCCCATCAAGAGTGTAAGAGGTGATACTAACGGGATTCTAGCAACCACTTCCTCACCTCAACGCCGACAAGTAGTCACGCTAGAGGACATCCGGAAGGAGTATCAGAATGAAGTAGAGAGGGTTGGTTTACTGCTTAACGGGGGGTTCTTTGTATAAGTCATTCTCTTTTAATCATACGTCCGGGGGCAAAGTAAGCGGGGGCGAGTGGAAGCAAAAAAAAAATGCCACAACGTAGTCGCGGAAACCACTTTCTTTTACGCACTTATGTATAATATAATTTGGGGCTTTACCGGAATAATTTAGTTATGGTTTTTATCTTTATTCCTTATTTTCATTTTTATTCTTGTTTTACGCTGTCCACTAGCTACGTCTTGATACTTTAGGAGTAGACGCAAGCAGCAGGCAGGAATATGTATAAAAAAAATGAAGGCATAATATATCACTCGCTCTTATGCCCTTTATGCATCGCATGTTGAAGCCGTTGGCATAATCAATTCTCCACAGCTACTATTCCACGTCCGGTCCTGGTTCCAGCTCCAACCCCCCCCCCGCCGCTAGTACCACGGCACACCAGCAAACCAGCCCTATCGCCTATAGCAGACGCACTACAAAAAAACAAATAGATAAATAAACCCTGGTAAGCCCATCCCGCCCCCCCGAGCACCGTACTCCATTCGCACGAGTACAACTGGTTATCCGGTGTGTACCGTGCGATAGAAGATGAAGAAGTGTCGGTGAAGTCAAGTTTTTTGCCGACTTTGTTGGATGACTTATCCACCTGGTGGCGGAAATGGTTTGATGCACGGTCCGTCACTCGGGTATTGGTTTCCGTTTTCCTTTCCCCTTTTTGCCCTTTTTCCGGTTGGGGATGGGGGGAGGAGGAGGGCGGATAAGAGGAAGGAGTAGAAAAGGAGGAAAAGAAGCGACCGAAATGCAGTGATGCTGGCTCCCAGTTCCTGTATCGCTTGGGGTGTGTTTGTAGGTGCCGGTAGGCGGGTAGTAGTTAAAAGGCAGAGCGTAGTTGTAGTATAACCTGGAGTCGACAGAACTCGTATGTTGCCCCTCTGCGTACAAGTACTGTGAAATCGCGTCGGAGGGTATGCTACTGCGGGGGGGTATATCGGGAATATACGTACCGGAAAGTCCCCAAAACACGCAGTTTCTAACCTAACCTTGTTTAAGCAGGTTTCCTAATATTCTCACGGTATGAACCCCAGTGATACCCTGCGTATTTCATCGTCTGGGTTGTATATCCGACTCCGGAATTCCTGCCGGGGCTGCGTACCTCCGAACGTGATTTTATAGGTAGACTATCACACCCGCGACCACGCTTCCATGTGCAGTACTATACCAGCGCCGGTACTCGTAGTGCAATCCCTCCTCCACACAAACACAAAGCACCACAACGCCTCGAACCCACAACCATTCCACCCCGCCCCCCCCCAACAACAAACTGAAAAGTTTCGTAAGCTATGAGGACAATAAAAACTTTTTTAAGCTGCTACTATATGTACTCATTCATCAACTCATCCATCCACCCGTCCACCCATCCATCCGTTTCCAAATCACGCAAGACTCCGGGGACGCCACAAGAATAAATAATTGAAGAAAATAAGGAAAAGAAAAGAGAAGAACGCCACTATGGCAGGATTAATCTGAAAAGACACAAAACCGAAGAGGATCAAAATAAAATAGGAACAAAAATAAAGAAAAATATGTGGTCTGTGTCAAGCCTCCACATTCTGTAGGTGGAGTGGAATCTATCAAAGTAAAGGTGGCCTGATAAAGAGAAGATGAGGGGTGGAAGAAAATATGACCAAGAATAAGCCAGACGCCATTTCCACCAGCTAACTCGTAAAAATGAAAACCCATATGTTACATACCACCGAGGACGTCGGCCGGCCTATTATACAAACCTATGAATGTTAGTATTGCTAGGAGTTTCGGTTCTCGCGTTTCTTTTATATTTTTCTACCGTCAGTTGAGTAGGCTCGCGATAGTGATAGTCGGAGAAGGTCGATCGAAAGCGATGGATTGCTCGGGAATCGGAGTCGAGGGTGCAGGAGGAGTAAGGGGGAGGACCACTTGCGTTGGATCAGGGACCTCAGCAGCTTTGGCCATATCTACAAAACCGGTAACGGGGGCATTCTGAGATGCGAGAACTGCTGCCGCCGCCTTTGCTACTGCTGCCACGGTGGGCTTTCTAGCTTTTGCTAGTGTTGTTGTCTTTGCCGCCGGGGGTTTCGCTTTTGGTGACCTAGCTTGGGCCTTGGTCGGTTTAGCTGCCACTTTCTTCACAACTTTAAAAGCAGTCGCAATAGGCCCAGGTTTCTGAGCATCTACCTTGGCCTTCGACTTCGTGGCTGTCGCCTTGGGTGTAGGTTTTGCCCTCGCTTTCGATTTTTTCGCTGCGGGTTCCGCAGTCGTCTCTGATGCCGGTCGTTTCTTCACGCTCTTCGTTGGTTTGGAGATCTTGGGATGGGGACTAATTGAAGGACTAAGAAGTTGAGGAACATGGACCTCCACCGAACTGCTATCCCTAGGAGGTTCGTCGGGATCAAGCTCAATGAAGGAACCACAGCTATCGCTATCCGTCTCGACCTCCGTTTGCGGTTCACTCCCATCCCACCTTGGAAAGCTCGCCATCTTCGCAACCCTTTCACAATCCCCACCAACAATCAAGTCAAAGACCCCTTCAAAGTCTCTTCCCACTGGGGGTGCGTCCTCGTTAATCCAGACGGTCATTCCTCCACGGAAATCCTGAACAACTCCGCACATTTCACGGACAATTCTCCGAACACCAGGGACCTTGAGACTCGTTCCGACAACAATAAGACAATCGGGACGGGACTTGAGGTCGGCCTTGGTGACCGCGCCAATCGCTTCCGCATCCGGGTTGAATTCATTGTAGAGAACTATTCTGGGGCGTAGTTTACCGACTCCAAGAGCTCGCTTGCCGGCTATGCCCCTCACACAATCCATCTCAAGGCACTCGGAGCAATCTGGGGGCTCCGAACCCCTGAAAAGCGACGCCTCAAATTCCGCTAACCACCCACACTTTGAACACACCATCTTCTCTAACCCTCCATGCAATTGGATTGTCCTGGGCCACGGCCCTTTATTGCCAAGTGGCACAGCGGTCTTCAGGGGCTCTAATTGTGTGTCGATGCAGTCGACGTTTTGCGAGTAGAGTCTGAGGAGTCTACCTTGTGTTGCCAACGTAGCCAAAAGGTGGTGAAAGAGAGTGGGAGTGGCCTGGGTGGTCATCGAGTGCAAATTCCTGACCATTTCGTGGAACGAGGATGTAAGTTGATCATCTTTGTAAACGGAAGCGTCGAATAGCTCTTTGCCAGAGGTCTTCAGCTTCATGTCATTTCTAAGGGAAGAAAATAGTCCCCCGGAGGAGCGGAAATCGGGAACTGTGTAACCAAGCTGAGTCAGCGTCGAGGCGAACATCCAGTGTGGATACAGAGAGGCATTGAAAAACCACACCAAAAAAAGGGCGGAAGCGAGGGCCGGGGCTGGGTGATTTTCGCAGGAACAGACTTACTTCCGGCCCCAACAGAGATACCAGCGCCAGCAATGACAACTATCTTCTTCTTCTTGCGCAGTAGCTTTAATAGGGTGTCGATTTGGGGTTTTTGTGCCTTTAATACTTCTTCCGTGAGTGGAGGACGTAGATTGATACGTTGGGGGGGTTTCCGCTTAGGGGGTTCGGAGGCAGCAATTTTCTGTTTTTTGGGGGGAGGTTCCGTTTCGGGCGGCATCGTGTAGGCGGTAGGATGTTTAGAAAGGGAGGAAGGTCGGAGAGTGCTATTGTTGTTGTTGTCGTTGCTGTGGTTGTTGGGGGGGGAGAGGGAAGCAAGAGGGAATGGAGGACGGAGCCCGATTTCTAAAAGGAGGAGAGAGCGGTGAGGTGAACCAGGAAGAGCGAGGAAGGGCGGGAAGGAAGGGATGACGGAGGAGGAGGGCAGAGAGGGGGTTAACAGCAGGGGGAGCAGTTGTTGTCATGTTGCGTGCGGCACACAGCTGCAGAAGTCCAAGTTTACATACACTCTCCCCTACCTCCCTCCCCTCCTCCTCTTCCTCTCGGGTCCCGGTCGCTACCAGTTACAATACAGCTATGATATGATACTCCCTACAAGCACTGACACCGGCACAGCAAAGGCTAGCGACAAGCCAGCGCTGGAACCGGCGAGGGTAAAAGAAAAGAAAAGAAAAGGAAAGAAAGCTGCATCTTACTTCCCACCTGCCCGACAACCCTTGGCCTGCGTTTCAATGAAATGACAGCAAAGTTTGCTGATATCCTCGCTTCTTCCTCTCTTTTCGAGGATTGGGAAAAGCTCACTGCTGCATACCCCCCCCCTCCTTTGCTCTGTCTGCTCCCTCTCATAGCGGGGAAAGGTGAAGCCAGAGCAGTGGGAACGGAACGATTAATATCATAGGATAACTTGGCTTGTAAGGGGGAAAAAGCACGGCTCCCGATCTCGGACTGTTCATCGAGCTTTTATTCCGCTTATAGGAAATAGTCACTAGGCTCGCCCATTCTGATACTATTGCGTAGACATTCCACGAGATAACATCCAATTATCACTGCATTTCGTGCCGTCCAATGCTTTTGAAGGGCACCCCAATATTCTGACCGAACCAGTGATTCGTGTGTGATATGGCTCAGTACAATTCTGCATGATATTCTGACAGTGAGATGCTGCCTTGTGCCGTACTGCACAGTAACCTTCGTCAAAATCCTATAGTGGTTTGGCTATGATACGGTGGACATCCCATCTCTATGCTTTTTTCTTTCCTTCTTTCTTTCCCCCCTCTCTAATGCGTCCATAGTTATGGGGTTAAATTGGTTGTCCTTCTTTACTCTTAAGTGTTGGGGCTGTCTTGTCACGGTCTCGTTGGAGTTCGCTTCGTGCAATGTGAGGGAGGTTCGCCTGGCGGGCGCCCGGGAGGGGATCTTTTCGGAATGGCCTACGAGTACGGTACCGTACTTGCTCACGCGGGTGACTACCTTCCAAGCGCATTACAGAACCCCCTACCGTATCAACAGCGCCGGAATAAAACTAGAACCGCGGTTTTGAAAGGGTGTATGGATGCAATGTGGGTGATTGTACGAATAAGGCAAAGGATAGCGGTACATTTGCGGTATATTCGAGGGCTGATATCGTACTCGCATACCGGTACTGGGATGTACGGGCAGGGTAGAATACAGTACGGCATACGGCACCGCATTGTAGGATGGCACGAAAGCGCACATTAGACTGCCGGTAATAGGTTGCCCGTATGTGTGCACCGGATGTGTAAACTTGTGCATGCTTAGGGTAGATGGTGGTGGTCCACGCTTCCTGCGTACGGCGGGTATCATACTGTGGGCGGTGCCTGTGGGTAGACGACCGGGGAAGGGGTAAGGAAGAGTTGAATTAGCTGCCGCACAGGGTGAATGCCGGAGAGAGAGGGGGGGATGGGAAGGAGAGGGAATAATATATATTGGGTATCGAGCGACGAGAGAGCAGAGGAGCACGGTGACTGTAGGGGAAGGAGGGTCGGTTAGAGAGACAATTCCTTGTGGAATACCGGCAGAGGGTGAATTCCATACGGTAGGGGAGTTTCGGTATACTATGTTTTACACTCCAGCGTATTGGGGAGAACGGGTACCGTGAAGTGCATGGTCCTTCCAAGACGGGTTAGACTGACCAACCAGGAGGAAGGGAATCTTCCGGTTGATGAAATCATGGGGCAAGGGGCACTGTAGGCCGGACAGCTGCAACCATAATTGACGCAAGCTGAGAGCCAGCCTACCGTACCGTACCGTAGTCTACCCTACGAGTACGAGTACCGTAGAGTACCGTACGGGCACCGTACTGTCCCCAGAAAAAAAGCCAATTTTTCCGGTGGGCTGCTTGTGTGGGTGGGTGGGTGGGCGTTATGCGTTATGTAAGCCAAGGATACGAATTCGCTTGACGGGGGTTCCTTTCGTTACTTCGGTTCAGCTTCCCCCAGTCTTCTCAGATCCCACAATTTTATGCAAGGCCCCACTTATCTCGCTTAGTCATCTCAGCCTCAATGTCCCCCACGTTTTTCCCTTGGCTCCGTGACACGTGAACCCGGTCAATTCTGACTCGAACCCATACGAGTACCGTACTACCGTAGTACTCCGTCACGTCTTCCCTTGTCCGGGTGTTGGAGTGATTATTTCGTCCCCCCCCCGGCATCCACCCTCCTTTACCACTTCACCCCTCTCTCGTTTGTTCGCCCTCATATCGTGCCCCTATTCCATTGTTTGGTTGGCTATTTACGATTCCTCGTCTTCTGCCATCCACTGCCTCGACATGATTAAGGATGAATCCCTTGAAGCGAAGAAACGTTTTTTTGAAGGCCTCTATTCTCTTGATTCGATTGTCGAGGATGACGACCTGTACGAAAATAACCCAGTCTCTGCACTGCTAACAAAGACAAAAGATCCCGCTATCAGGAATCCTCGAACCTTACCTAAGCTCACTCGGTCCCGCACAGCTTCTGCGTCAAGTGCAAGGCCTGCTTCTAGTTCGAGGTCTGCGGTTTCAAGGACCCTTTCGTTACCCACCCAAAAGCCTCGCCCTTCCACCATGCTAGATAGACCTGTACCTACGCTCTCGACTCCTGCTGTCATGGCTTCTTCGGCTCGGCCTAAGATACCTCGTTCCCCTCGTCCCCCCTCCTCCTCAACATCTGCTGTGACCTCCCCTTCCTCGAGGGCTACCGCCACAGCTGCTCCCTCATCACCGCCTTTACCCGATATGCCGTCGATGCATGTCCCGACGTCGGCAGCCCCTCCGGAATCCTCGAGGATGTCTGCTGTGGGATCAGGGGGCTCTACAAAGCGAAAACGCTCCTCAAAGCTGGCCTACCAACCAACGGCTAGAAACTCTCAACTCATCTTTTCAGACCTTGTTTTCTGTAGGCAAACGAAAGCCATATTTGCGCATGGGCGGAATTACTTACGATTTGTAGACTTCATTCCAAACGACATCAAGAATCCGGCAAGGAGGATGCGAGTTCAGAAAGCTACTGAATTTGGCGCTTTTTGTATAAATGAATGGAATGATCGGTGTATGTATATGAGAGACTGCCTTATGAATAACAGCTTGTCATAGTTCGCAGTTTTTCTTTTGGAATGCATAGATCGGGCTAATGCAGTAGAAACAAAAGTTATCACCCATGTTATTGCCGAAAGTCGCTTCAAATATCTCGATGTCCTCGGGTACCTAAAACTTGAGAAGCTACCAGTAATTAATATTCTGATTCCCTTCACTCTTGCAAATACCTGAACGGCAACCTCCTTGTAGGGAAACATCATCGTCGTGAATCAAGAATACGCAGGGGACTGCCTGCACCATGGCCGCATCCTTGATCATACCCAGAAGGTCTACGGGATCCACGGTCGCGCACCCCTGTCACCACCTCAGGCTCCAGCCCCACCGCCTTCTACGAACGAAATACCTTCATCGCCACAAAGTCTTCAGATTAAGCCCTCCCGTCGGAAGAAGGCTCCAGAGAGGTTCGCTTAGATACCTGCTTTGGAGTAAGGATTGCAGCCTTCCTAACGTGTATCTGCAGTACCCAAGCCTCTTCGCACCCGCCCTCTAGCCTCTCGAGCCTGCGGCCCTTCGAAATCGATGCCCCGGTACCCACACGCAGCGATTACGTGGCCTCGCCGGCGCCCGAAGAAAGGTCTCGGAAAGATGAGCTGGACATGATGATTGACGAGGCAAAGAAAATAGGCTCCTTGGTAAGAACATGATATATCACTCGCTGAAAGATGGCTGATGGCTTGGAGCCACTGGAAGACGAAGAAGGGGAGTTGAAGAATGTGGAGGAGATTGAGACGACCGATGACGAGCGGGATTCGCTGGAACTGGCCAAAAGGCAAAAAACTAAAGACAGGAGAAGAAAGAACGATAAATCTGGACGCTCTCTAGAGGCGTTTCAGTGCCTGGAGAAAAACGACGGGAACCAGACGGAGGGGAGCCCCAATAAGAGGACTATTGAGATTGTGAGATTTGGAGCTGAAGCTTCACGGAAGCATTTACTAATGACGATAGTAAATAGTTATCGGAGATGCAGCGTTATTACGAAATGCTGAAAGATACTTGGAGGTCTTTGGGGTATAGGAAGGCCATAGCTACCTTGAAGAAACAGGATCACAAGATTAGATTTGCCAGCGAAGCTCGAGAGTATGCCCTCTTCCCAACCCCCCCCCCCCCCCCCTTTTCGAGGCTCGTACTCATCAAGTAGGCTCCCGGGAATTGGTGACAGAATAGCCATAAAGATTGAAGAAATAGGTGACTGCTCTCTTGCTCGCATCGTGTTCCCCGGCTCTAACCCATATTAGTCCGAACTGATCGCCTTCGAAGGCTTGATTATGCAAAGATGGATCCGGAAGATGAGGCATTGAGGCTATTCCTTGGTATTTACGGCGTAGGGTGGACATCACTGATGCCTCTAAACAAGCCTACCTGCTAACACAGCTTCCAATAGTGGAGTAAAGGCTCAGAAGTGGGTAGACGCAGGGTATAAAACTCTGGATGACATAAAAACCCACGTGCGACTCACTTCATCTCAGCGGATTGGGATTGAGCACCACGAAGATTTCCAGCAACGCATCCCACGGGACGAAGTGAAGCAGCACGGTGACATCGCCACGCGTGTTGCCCACGAAATAGATGCCGAGCTAAAGCTTGAGATTCTAGGATCGTATAGGCGGGGTGCTAAGGATTGTGGTGACGTGAGATATTTATTGAGCCACCAGTAACGCGAGTGATTGGTTAATTGGTTGGCGTAGATCGATATCATGATCACTAAAGAGGGTGTAGAGGCGCATGCAATTACCGGTATGGCATCCTCCCCCAGTATTTGACTTTCGCCTTGAACTGACCATTGAGTAGAGATTCTCTGCGAACTCGTCGAGAAGCTCTTCGAAATTGACTTCTTGCAATGTGCCCGTATGTCTCCCTCACAATAATATACCCACTAAAGAGTATCCAATAACTCCTTGCAGTCGCAACCCCGAGAGGCTTAGATAATGGCACAAAATGGCACGGCGCATCAAAAATCTCCCCAGGGCCCTGGCGTCGAATAGACTTCCTAGTAGTCCCTTGGGTAGAGCGCGGTGCGGCACTACTATACTTCACAGGCAACGACATATTCAACAGGTCACTCCGTCTCTTAGCCTCCAAAAAGGGCTTCAGACTCAACCAGAGTGGACTGTACAAAGATGTTTTGCGCGGAACGGACAGAATAAAATTCACGGACGGGGCCCTAGTAGAGGGTGAGTCGGAAGAGAAGATTTTCAAAATTCTGGGCGTGCCGTACAGGCCGCCTGAGCACAGGATTTGCTGAGCAGTCTTCATAGAGTGAAGCTTGTTTATGATATGGTCCGGGAAGACTACTCGTGCCAAATTCCTAGCAGGTATGACGGCTTTTAATGTATAGAATGACACCAGAAGTTGCTGTACTGTAATGTAGATATCGACTTGAGCTTTGCCCCGTCGAGGAGGCTATAGGAAATAACGGTGCGGAGGAATAGTTGTGGTGCTGCCGGGTGATGCACTCTTGGGGCTGGTTGTGGTACCGTACCGGTAGGGAGAGCGGTGTTCTAGAGTATCCCCATACCAGGAGTTTAGGATGGGTGGATGATTACTGTATATTCTATCATAGTATTGAGGGTTTTCTTGCGGCACACCGGGAGCGGCCGGCCTGTCGGTTGGTGGAGCCACACCACTAGTGTTCATTGGGAGTGGAGTCGTTGTATTATAGCACGGTAAATATCTAGGTGGGAGAATTCGGGAAAACCACGACACATTTCGAAAGCACTGAAAAATACGCGTACCCACACACCCCTCCGTCACCTGGATTTACGGTACTGTACGCGCGCTGGTACCGTAAAAACTTGAATAATTGGACGGGGGGCAAGGAAGTTAAAATAAGGTATGAAAGCGGGAAACGGGAAATTAGTGTCTTGGAAACTATATTAGGCTCAAAAAAGCATTAGAAATCAAATATGTTTGACGTCACTGATACTCTATTACAACCTCAGAGGAGAATAACTATTTAATAAATACATAAAGTAGGGAGTGCCAGTATGTACAAATATAACAAGAGAAGGGGGAAAAAAGCTATTGGTTTTCAGAATGGCTTCTCGTTTATGTGGGCGAACTCGAGTGGAGATTGATCTTCCACCCTTATCGACCGATAAATTTTACGCCGGAGTCAAAAAAAAGCGAGGGCCAAAGAGGAAGCTGCTTGCCGAAGGTATCCGGAAGCCAGAAAGAGTGGTTCATAATCCCTATCGATCATATACTGTTAGCTATAAGCTGCGTATTCTTTCATACTGGATGGCAACAAAAGTTCGCTGTGGTCCATCAACCTTCCGAGAGCCTACAAGGGATGAGGTTGCACAACATTTCCGAGTTCCAGCAGCCAATTTATCCCGTTGGAGGATTGAGGAAAGAGAGGGAAAGTTTATTGCCATGAAGGCAGGACAAAGAAGAGCAGCAGGAGGAGGACGAGGTCGGCAATGGGCGGAGATGGAGAAAGATCTGTTCGAGAGATTTCGTGAGCGAAGAGCACTCGGGCGCCCGGTACGCAGAAGCTGGTTTCGAAGAGTTAGCAAAGATCTCTTCCAAAAGCACTACCCAATGCAAGATCCCGAAAACTTTACCTTTTCAAATGGATGGTTTCGGGGATTCCTAGGATGGCACCAGATTAGTCTCCGCTTTATGACTAATAAAGCGAGTCAGCTCCCTAAGGATTTCAGTGCAGCGATACTTAACTGGTTAAGGTATAATCGTCGGAATTCACACTTTCGCCCTGATGATCAGCAAATACCCAGCATACCTAGCCAGAGCTCTGGGACCGGTCGGTTTCTGTTACAGAATATCTGTAACATGGACCAGACACCGGTCCCATTTGAGTATCTGGAAGGTCAAACATATAATCAGATTGGTGATAAGACAGTCTGGCTTCAATCTAGCCGTTCCGGATGGGATAAAAGACAAGGGATTATTCAGCTTACCGTTTTTGCTGATGGGGTTCCACGCGTGAAACCCCTTCTTTTTTTCCGTGGACAAGGTGCCGGACCTAGTTTATTGGCCGAGCAAAGACAGTACGACAGCCGAGTAATCGTGAGATTCAACCCGACCGCCTATGCAAATTCAGCCAATATAGTCGAGTGGTTGGACCAGCAGCTAGTTCCTGTTCTTAATGGTCAGCCTACACTTCTTGCTCTTGACCTCTTTTCAGGTCATAAAACGGAAGAGGTACTTGATACCTTCCGAGCACATGATATTACTCCAACGGTAATACCTGGTGGTTGTACGGGTTTAGTACAACCTCTCGATATATCTATAAATCATCCTTTCAAAATCCTATTAAAGGTAAGTAAGTATTTCATTAAAGAAATAGGAGGAGGGACTTATCTTTAATTTCAGTTGAAACACTGAATAGTAATTAATAATTCCTATAGGAGGCAATGGATCAGCGACTTGGTGAGATCGAGGATGAGGAGGAGAGAATTTTAGAAGCGGGAGGAAAACTTACCGGGAGCATGATTGGTCGCCGGCGAATTGCTATTAGCTGGTCGGTTGGCGAAGCATGGGAGAAGTTTTCTACCCAAAGAGCAGAGGTTGTCCGACGAGCCTTCCGTGTGGTTGGCCTCTCACTCCCAATCGATGGGAGTCAGGACGACGAATTATCTATCAAAGGGTTAGCAAATAGTTTTCTTGTATCAGGGATGAAGGAGTTGGAGGTTGGGGAAGAAAAGGGTAATGATAGTGATACTATCGATAAGGAAGTGGTGGAAAACTCAGAGGAGGAGACAAATTTTCACTATGATTAAATGCCAAGACAAATGCCAAGAAATTGAGAATCTGATATTGACTGATCAACATGACCATCTCTTAGCACCACATACTTTATTCTAACTTCCTCGCCCCCCGTCCAATTATTCAAGTTTTTACGGTAGTCTACCGGCACCGTGATCGGCTATAGTAGTTAGTCAGGAGCAGAGCCAACAGAACGAACAATTTTGGGACAAGCGAGTGATTCCCCATGTCCACATGCATGCTGCGAGATCCCTAACCAGCAAGGATTCCTTTCTCCTCTCCAACCCAACCCGGGGTAGACTACAGCCCCGAGCACGGCGAGGCTATAAAATCCCGTTGACCTCGGTCCATCTCGCATCTTGCAGTGACAGGATACAAACGCGAAGAATTCCCGGATGGGGCTCATTTTTTTCTTCTCTTTTTCTTTTCTTTTTGTTTTCGGGGGTGAGTATTATTATTCAGCGCCGCATCTTACTGAAATATGCCATAACCGTTACATTTGGAATTAGCTAACGGAGGGAGAGGGAGACCGCCGGTGTGGAGTGGTTTGTGTGTGTACGAGTACCGGTATTGCGTGGGTGGATGGGCTAATGTGCATCCCGCGCATGATTAACGTTAGACTACAGTCGCACCCCGCTATGATACGGGTATGATATGATAAATTTTTTTACTATGGTTATTGCGTCACGGTAGCGGTCTGTATGATAAAATTAGAGTATTGCACTGAGCGATACCCTACCGGTATGGTACAGTAATTTACAGTATGATACCCCTTCCATCTCTTCGCATCCCAAGTAAACCCCCCCACTATTTTTTTGTTTTTCCACCCCCCCATAACGTCCCGTAGCAAACAAACACATTCTGGTAGGCTCTCTTTAACTGCGTACTCTGCTTCTGAGATTCCCCTCATCTTACTCCGCCCTCTCTCTCTACTTCTCCCCAGGTCTCTTGAAATTTGCACAACACACGATTTCTACTTCCACTTCCCACCTGAAATTTCCTCGAGATGTCGCTTTCTAATAAGCTTGGTGTGTTTGATCTTGTTTTATATTTTATAACCCATATTTAATTTTGTTTGGTGGGGTTAATGGACGAACTGCTAATGCGGTGGATAACCCATAGCTATCACTGATCTCGACCTTAAGGGGAAGAGAGTTCTTATCCGTGTATGTGCTATATTCCCACACCACCTAATGCCTCTCACCGAGTGGAAATTTCTAACGGATGGAAAATAGGTAGACTTCAACGTCCCTCTCGAGGGAACCACCATCACCAATAATCAACGTATTGTTGCGGCCTTGCCTACTATCAAGCATGCCCTCGAGTCGAAGGCTAAGTCCATTGTGCTGATGTCGCACTTGGGACGCCCTGATGGAAAGAGGGTTGAAAAGTACTCCCTGGCACCGGTAGCCAGGGAACTGGAGAAATTGCTTGGTGTCAATGTCACCTTCTTGGACGACTGTGTTGGGCCGGAGGTTGAGGAGCGTGTTGCGAAGGCTACTGATGGTTCGTTTCGTTCTCCCTATTCTACCATTTCTTCCCTCTCACCCTACTGGTTGAAGTGTCAGGAGAAGATGTTAACTTGCGGGATTTCGTAAAACCGAACAGGAGAGGTGATTCTCCTCGAAAACCTCAGATACCATGCCGAGGAAGAGGGAAACTCCAAGGGGCCGGATGGCAAGAAGGTCAAGGCAGATCCAGAAAAGGTGAAGGAGTTTAGAAAATCTTTGACCTCTTTGGGTGATGTTTACATCAGTTTGTTCCCTCATTTCTTTATCTTCAAGCAGCTTGGTTAGTTAATTGCTCTTTTCTCTCTCCTTTCTTTCCTTCAATAGATGACGCTTTCGGCACTGCCCATCGCGCTCACAGTTCCATGGTTGGTATCGACTTGTCGCAGAAGGCGTCCGGTTTCCTCGTGAAGAAGGAGTTGGAGTACTTTGCCAAGGCCCTCGAATCTCCGGAACGCCCATTCCTCGCTATCCTCGGCGGTGCCAAAGTGTCCGACAAGATCCAACTTATTGATAATCTAATTCCCAAGGTCGATTCTTTGATTATTTGCGGTGGTATGGCGTTCACTTTCAAAAAGACCCTTGAGGGTGTCAGGATTGGTAATTCCCTGTTCGATGAGGAGGGTGCTAAGACGGTTGGTGAGGTTATGGAGAAGGCGAGGAAGCATGGTGTGGAGGTTGTCTTGCCTGTTGACTACATCACTGCGGACAAGTTTGCAAAGGATGCTCAAGTCGGGTATGCTACTGATGAGCAGGGCATCCCCGATGGGTGGATGGGATTGGACTGCGGGGAGAAGTCTGTTGAGATGAACAGGGCTACCATAGCTAAGGCTCGTACCATCCTCTGGAACGGGTATTTAATTCTCCGCTCCCTAGAAAGGATGCCTTGCTGATCGCTACAGGCCCGCTGGTGTTTTCGAGTTTGACAACTTTGCAAAGGGAACCAAGGCTATGTTGGATGCAGCCGTCGAGGCTGCACAATCTGGCAAGATTGTCATCATTGGTGGTGGCGACACCGCAACTGTGGCTGCGAAGTATGGTTCTGAGGATAAGCTGAGCCATGTCTCAACTGGCGGTGGAGCGTGAGTAGTCGGATGTGCTCTTGTGTCAGTGGGGGGACGCGTGGCTAACATGTGATACAGTTCATTGGAATTGCTCGAAGGCAAGGTCCTTCCTGGTGTCTCTGCTCTCTCGGTAAGTCCTCTTGAAGTTTGATCTGCATGGTGAAAAACGGGCTGACCAGATTGTAGAGTAAGTAAACGGGATACGCCGAATGGAGGATGAGTATGAACCTCACGAGAAGGATCTGTATTTACCAGAACATCTAGCTTCCGAGCTCAAACTCCTATTTTAGCAGGGGAACAGTGATAATAATAAAAAGACCTCTAGTTCATGGAAGCACATAGATCATCCCAATTTTCTTTTCCTTTTTTTGCACACAATACATAGAAGAAATCAAATAACTATCATCGGACATCGTGGCAATCCACGGGTTCCTTGATCGTTGGGGAAGCTATGATACAATCGAAAGAGAACGTCCCATCCGATTCCAACCAGCGACGAGAGCGGCTCGTGTATCGAAATGGTAGGCGTATTATTTATTTGGTGGGGTTCTTTTTGAGCTCTTCCCTATACGTTCCCAGGCAAACAGATTAGCCTACCTAGACCAGATGAAACAGAAAAACGAAGGGAACGGACCTCAGTTGAGTAGAAAAGTCCTCAGTAGTATCATCATCATCCCAACTCTCTTCCCACAATCTCCCACCGGGGGGATTCTGCATATCAGTCTCGCTCTCCTTCCAATCTATTATTCCCCCCACCATGCCGCCGGATCCCAGGTTAGTGCCATGCCCCTGCAAACTCGGTCAAGCCCTCTGCAGCTCACCTTCGACGGGAAAGTCCTCGAACTCGTCATCCTCCTCCAGCGTGAATGCGTGCTTCTGTGGCTCCTTAGACTTATCGGCCGCGGCGGAGTCCTTAGGGTCGGTGGTCTTTGATGGCTTTGATGAACTGGACATTTTTGTGATGTTGGAGGCTGAGGTTGGATGTTGCTGAGGGGTGATTTGATTGATGGAGAGATGGATGAGATTGGTGCTGCTGGTTGTCTGTAGGATACCGGCAAGTTATGTTCGTGATTCAGGGTATCATACTACAAATTAGGTAAAGTTAGCTTGGTGGGATTTGCCAAGACGGTCATTGTCCAACCTTGAACTGGGAGTCCTCCTCTTCTTCCCGTGTCCGCGGGGGAGAGGGGTAGATCCGTCCATTGGATTTGATTAACACTCTCCGAGAAGCTCTAATTCATGGTGTTCGCTGAAGTGCTATTGCTTTTTGCTTTCTCCAGTCGCGTACCGTAGCTCGGCTCTTCTCCTGACGCTGTTTAATTGCCCGCTGCAGTGCACTGAGCGGACGGTGTAACAACATACATGTACTCGTACTTGTACATGCCGGCATCTCCATGAGCGAACCCTAAATTTATGATTATTATCAGTATCATACCATAATATTATTATGGATTTAAGTTGACTCGAATACAAGTACACCCAAAGGATAGCAATCAAACCGGGTACCATACCCTGCTGCAAAGTTGAGGGATAATTTACACGAACCTAAGGGGGCTCCGCCTTCCTCCTCATCCCCCTCCCCTTTAAATCCACTTCTGTCTTATCACACAAAAAAGTCTGTAGACCCATCTTGTCTAACATTATTCCATCTTTCATTCTTACTAAAGCAGCCTGTTCGGCTGCTGCGATAAGAGAGAGTGTGTTGCCATCCTAAGCGTCATCCTTCCTCCCTCTCCCTTCTTGTTTTGTTGCCTTTTTTTGCTGTCACCGTGGCTTAACTTAAGGGCTCAGTGCACAGTGTCACCCTTCCTCCCTGCTCTCTTCCCTCCTCAAACCGTCGCAATTTTGGGGGACCTTATCCTTTTTTCTTCGTATTCTTCCTCCTTTGTTTGCTAAATCACATATCCGACGTCACCCCCCACTACGGGAAAGAAAAAGGAAAAGAAATCGCCGGTACCAGCATGTTCCGAGGATGGCTCGGACGGGGTGGCAGCGGAGTACCTGTGATTCACTCGACTTCTTCACAGTCCCTAAATGCTCTAGATGAGCCGCAAGCATGTTTGTCCTAATGAGAAAGCTTGCTTATCCCCAGTGTGCAATATTTTCTTTAGCTAATGTAAGATTCTTGCAAAAATATTAGTGGAACAAGCTTTGAGGGGTAGTGCAGTTTTCCTCTCTCCCCCCTAAGTCGTATTCGCAAAGGCAGCTTTTCACTGATTTTGCGTCTTCAGCAATGGATCTACTCATGGATGATGATGTCGCTGGTGCTGAAAAAGCAATTGCGGATGGGAGTTCAAGCTTTCATAAGGTTGGCCTCTCACCACCCCACTCTCTCCCCCTTATCACTCACGTGCTCTGGACTTTCTCCTTTTCTCTTCATTACGGGGCTGGGTAGTAATGCGGTTCGCTAGCTCGCCGGGGGAGTGATAGGCTTTTTGCGAGCAAGTTTAGGATTTGAACCAGAAGTTATGAAAGAAGGTTTTATTTTACTACGAATTTCCTGAGGAAAAAAAAATTAAGGGCCTATTCGGCGCGTGCCAATAGGAGTATACCGCGATATTTTTGAAAACAGCATATTTCTTAATACACACAACAAGCTGACTTCAAACAAAAACTAACACCATAGCTAAGTAGAAAGGTACCTCTCTACATATTCTGATCAAATTTGAAAGCAGCATGAGGCCTAGTGCTCGAGGAGTAAGGAAAATGTGCTGCTGGGAGACGTTTCACCTGGTGTAGCGCAATATTTCGCTGCGTCGCCATTTCCCTTACTCCCTAATCTTTAGGACTCTTGCTGCTTCTTCCCTCGCACATAATAAGTGGAGGAGCACCCTGTGCTTGACTGTGGTATCGATCTCTGCCTTGGAGTTAGCTTGTTTTGAGTATTAGGAAATGTGCTGTTTTCAAGAATATCGCAATATACTTTTATCGGTCCGCGCCGGATGGGACCTAAAAAAATTTCAGAATATGGGTTGACGTTTGGATTTTTGCCCGGCTGTTTCTTTTCATGCGCACAGCTTCCGATAGGCTTGCGGATGCGGAAGGCTCGGCGGATAGGGATCAGAAGAGAGCAGTTCGGGAGAATACTCAGCGATCGTTGTTCCCGCCCGGTACGGAGTTCGCCCTGGCACATGCCGAGTCTCAGTTGATGTCTGCGGTTGTGGGAGTGTTGTCAGAATCAGTGGTCGAGTCTATGAAGGCTTTTTACAAGATGAGGAGTGCGTATAAGACTTTGGAAGGGCTACAAGTGCATGTGTCTGGTCCTAATACTCCTCCGGCACGATTGGATTGGATGGGCGGGAGTAAGGTTAGCTTGCCGGAGTCTCTGAAGGCTCCTGAAAAGGGGTCTGGCTGTGGTAGTAACACCTTAAATACTGGAATGGCTGGCTTGGATGTGAGACCGGCGTCGGCGGGTGAAGTGTCTCCAAGGAATTCAAGCACCGGTGATCGGCCGGCTAAGTCTCTGGGCTCCCAGTATAATTTGGTGGATAAGTTTATCATCTCCGGGACAAACCTGTGTTTTGGAATGTTACTGCTTATCCTTGGGATGGTGCCGCCTAGCATGAAGAGGATCATGGCAATTGTTGGATTTAGGGGCGGTAAGAATCCCGTCTATCCCTCCATCGTTGGTGAATGGTTTTACTGACCCCCTGATATCAGACCGCGAAAAGGGCACCGAAATGCTCTGGGAAGCTGCAAAATTTGACAACATCCATGGCGCCATCGCGGTACTTACAATTCTCCAGTACTATGGTAACATGGCTCAATTCTCAGATATCACCCCCGGTGACAACCATCCTTCCGGTATTGGCTATCCGGCCGATAGATGCCGTGAGGCGCTGGGGCGGATTAGGAGGCGGTATCCTAATGCTGCGCTTTGGAAACTTGAGGAGGCGAGAATGGAAGCCGTCAAAGGTAACCTTGAGGGTGCCGTAACGATGCTGTCCATTTCAGTTGTCACTCAGATGAAGTACTGCCCGTGCATTCCCCTGGGCCGAGACATCGGGCTTATTTGATGAAGGCAGGTTGAGGCATTGATACTATTTGAGAAATCTTTGAACCAGATGTTTCTACACCGATATGAAGATGTTGCGGATGGTTTCATCAAGGTTTTCCTCCTTGAGTGATACCTCCTGAATGACACTAATGGGTGTTAGCTCACGATGCTAAATAACTGGAGCCACGCCCTTTATAATTAGTAAGCGATCACGAATTCGCTGTGGGTTTAGAGCGGGTGTTAATTTGCTAGTTTCGCGGCCGTTTGCTACATTGAATTATATAGGCAAGCTAAGGCATCTGATGCTGAAAAGGCGGTATGTATCCTAGAAATATACATTTTAATTTTATACTAATTGAGGACTAGGAGGGCTGGGCTAAAAAGGCAGAAGATTTGTTCGGGAGGATACCATCTCTCATGGGCAAGAAGCGATTCATGGGCCAGGGTCTTCCCGTGGAGGTCTTTGCGGATAAGAAGATCAAGAAATGGGTTGTTAGATCCAAGGAGAAGGGTATCAGGCTTGCTGATGCTGTTGGTGTCAGCCCGGTTGAGGAGATGATGTTCTTCTGGGGTGGATACGGGCGAATGGACCAGGAAAATCTCCAGAAATCCCTTCAGGCACTACAATACCGGGGGAATCAGGATATGGAAAGCGAGGTTATCGATGAGCAAGCTATTCGCTGGCTCTTGCTTAGTGCAGTCGTGAGGAGTGCTGGGCAGTGGGAAAAAGCGAGGGGATATCTTGAAAAGATCGAGAAGGTTGACAGAACCCAGTTTCGGGGGGCTTTAGTCAATGACTACATGAGTGCTTCCCCCTCAATAGCCATAATGGTCGCCACAGGTAACTGACACAAAGCAGTGCCCGCAGCGTACTACGAACGCGCAGTCGGAATCTGGAAAGAGGCCAAAGAGCACAAGCCAGAAGAACTGGCGGAGATGAGAGTCTTACTAGACAAAGCCGCAAACTACGGGGCCTTCGAGCTTGACGCTAGGATCGGAATGCGAGTGACGACGGCTCTAGACACTATCACGAGGTATGAGGTGTGGCTCAACGAGCATAAGGAGACTGGAATCACAGGGAAGGCACCGAAGGAGCCGGAGGTGAACTGATTGGTTGCGCTGCATTGGGGAGTGTGCTGTATGTTTATACGGGGGGCGGAGGGCTGTAGATTGTCATAGTTAGAGGGCGTTACGCGCGAGCAATTCATATACTCTTTCTTCTCTTGTTCCTCTGTTTTGACACGCGGGCGGATGGACGGATGGATGGGAGAAGGGAGTGACGTGTTATACGGACTTGTCTTGAGCGTTTATGATAGCGGTACTGTATCACACTGTAGTAATCCGTGCACTGTTTTATGTTCGCGTGGTTTCAGTACCTTACGTTTGCGTGGCGAGTATCGTAGAGAACATGATACAAGTAGCTACTGGATATGCTATCGTACCGTGGGACACCCAATTGTGCTCGTGGTCCTTGACAAGGAAGAGTTTCGTCAGCACCCGCTCATTGATTCTATGATATCATAGCTCTGAAGTCAGCGCCGGTGGTTAGTAACTTAGGGTATCTATTGGTCGTTATTAGGCCTGAAAGGGTCAATCAATCAACCAACCTTTCCAGGAGCATGAGGAGAAACCCCACTTTTATTTTATTTCGTTCCGCTTTCTCTATTGCTATAATTTTATTCGGTGGAACCACAGGATCATTTTATCCTACTCTCCTCCTATGATGTGCTCTTTTGTATAGTATGCGTAGGTCACTTGTGTCTCGCCAGTCATAGAAGTGGGAGAGGGCGACAGTCCTCCCGTGGATAACCATCACCGGAGAGTTTAGATAGTATGCCGGTACCAAAGGGGGCGTTCCCTTCACTTGTAAGTTAATGTCTAGGTGAACCGTCTTTGAATCTATCATATCATAAATTTGCTTGCAGCTTGTACCGGTACAGCATTGCACTGCGCGAGTGCTTTGGTAGCATACTAGTACAGTACGAGATACTCGTACTCGTACATTGCGGTAGCGTCAGAGTGCTTGGCAATCTAAGCTCAACGGTAAAACCAAGGTTCAACTTACTGTAAGACAGAAGAGCCTCACCGAGGCTCACTCGTCAACTTCCTGTATTCCAACCTCGCACCCCCAACCTGACTTATTTATCATACCCCAACTTTACTCTCTACCCACAGCTCGAAGGAAAAAAAGGAAAAAAAGGAAAAAAAACCTCCCCCAACCAATCAGCCAACAGATGGAGAATGGCTTCGGCGTTGACGACCTCTTCCAGGATGAAACCATCCCGCGCCTCTCCTCTCGCCGGCGCGTCGACGCCCGCCTGGACGAACTCCGACTGAGCGGGTGCAACTCCAAAATCGCCTGGTCCAAGGTGGGCTCCATCGCCATTATCAACAGCGCGGGCACGGGTGTGGAGACGCGGCACCTAGCCTGCAATCCGGAGGATGGGCGGTGGGAACTGAGCGACGCATACCCGATCGCGAACGTGAGCCGCTACCACGAAAACCAACGGCTGGTGCACGTAACGTGGAACTCTCCCGGGGCGGAGCTGGCGGTCGTGGACGTGCTGGGCCGGGTCAGCTTTTACACCGTCTTCCTGGCGGTAAATCACCTGACGGCGACTAGGAATCAGATACTCGACCAGGATGACGACCTGAGCGCCCTCGTGGGCTTCTGGTGGTTGCCGCTTGAGAAGCCGTATGCGCTGTACAGGCCAGCAGCGAGGCAGGAGGATAGGAACTTTAGGTACCAAGCGCTGACCTTTAGGCCCTTCGGACCTTTCCACCCGATTATGGGCAAGGTGGCCGCGATTGGGATTACGAGGGGGGGCACGGTCAAGATGTGGTATCAGGATGGGCAGGGCAGGTACCAAGAGGTCACGGCGGAATTGGAGGGGTTTGCGAGTTTGGATGACTTATTTTCTCATGCTTCCATCTCCTGCAATAAAGGTGAATCCCCGAAGAACCAACTGCCTCTCCCGCGCCTGTGCTCACCAAACCAGACCACGCTGCAGTCTTGGCAGCATACACCCTCTCAAAACAACTCCGCGTCTATCGCATCGTGATAAACTGGCCGCAGCGGAACCAGCCCAACCAACCTCACACGGTACTCCCCAACCCCCCCACCCTGGTAATCGAGCACCTCAAGATCGAGGACTGCGCTTGCCCCGCGGACTCGAGCACGCACGATGTATCCCGCGCGCAATTGACGCACCTGGAGACGCTGGCGCCAACACCCACACCGTCGGACATACACGGTTCCCCCGGGGTGCTGGCCGTCTTCGCGAACAAGAAAGCTGATGGGGAGACTTTTAGCGTTATTTGTCGGTGGAGCCTTAAGGAGACGCCGTGTGCGCTGCACCCCAGCTTCGATCAGATTGGGGTTCGCAGGACTAGTGTTTCTTCACCAACTATTTCGGAGGTTTGTCTGCCCTTCTGTGGGGGGAATTGGATGAGTGGGGCTAATCGGCAGTTTGTTGGTTGCTGGGATAGTTGGAGTTGTATAGGATGGATGATGTGGTGATGGATAAGTGCATTATTGGGGTTTCGCAGGTTACTTCTGGGACTGTGATTGCATTGGCGTTTAGTGATGGGTCCTTGGAGTTGAGGGAAAGGTATGTACCATTCTCTCCAGCTGGGAAATAGCACAGGCGCTGACCAACTATCTATAGAGGCAATCTCAACCAACTGCGAGACCAGAGCACGAACAAGAATATAGTCATGAATATGATGCAGGCTGGGTTCGCATTCCCTCCGGAAAAACCGTGCATCAGCCTGGCGTTATCTCCCAACAACGCCGTGGCCATACGCCTGGGTCCTGACAATGACACAAGCCTCATAATAATGGAGTACATGAATGGACCAATGGAGCAGAGTGGTAAAAAAAACAGCACCTTTCCCCTCCCCCATCAACTTCCACCCACGGATCATTGCCCCGGTTAACCTCTCGTGTTAGATAACCTCGAAATCGCCTGCGTAGCACTAGCCCACCAACATGCCTACTCCTGCAATAATCTCATAAACAACGACGACCTCTTACTGGTGGCGCAAAAGTACCGCAGTCCAGCCTTCAACAACACCTTCCTCTCGGAGGCCCATCGGGCACTGAACTTGAAAATGGATTTCGCTACGGAGTCACCGAACGAACGGCTCTTCAGAAACCCGCTCCTACAGCGCTGCCTGAGTTTGCAAAACTCCCTCGACTTTCGCGGGGAAAGGGTCAACAAGAGACTCTCCGGAAAGCTCGCCTGGGCGACATTGCACCTGCGCGTAGCGTCCGTCGCGTTCGCACTGACGTTCAACAACCCGCAACGGCAAGGCCAAGCTGGAAGCGCCGGTGCTGCTGGCAGCAGTGGGAGCACATCTAGCGATATCGATCTCCGCCCCGAAGCGCTTCAGACCCTGTTGGGCCTGGTCCGCTGGCTAATGGATATAATGTCTCTGACAATCAGCGACCTCTTCGAGCTATCCAAGGCGACAAAAAACCACACCTCAGACCTCGCCTACGTCCGGCAAAAAGTAATATCCGGCAACTCCCCCGCACTCTTCCTCGCGCTCTCCAGCGCGCCACGCGCGCTCCTACGATACAATTGCCGCAGCCTCCGGGGCCTGGAAACAACGGCAGGCAAACACCTTGCCTCCACCCTCTCCACCGCCACGGACGAGGAAACCAAGGCAACGTTCCGCAGCCTAAAAGTACCCATAGAATCCTGCGCTGTCAAGATCTCGCAGTTCGAGCGGATAATGACGGACATCGACGGCACCATCCGCGCAGCCTACCACAACGTCCCCGAAGCGGAGCGTGCACAGGCCGAGAAGCTGCTCTTCGTGAATAACGAGATACCCCCCATATTCCGCGTCGCGGTGGAGCGCCTGCTGAACACCACGCTACCGAACCTCCGGAACGACCTGGACATTGCAAAGTTGTTCTGGCACGACGTCACCTGGCTCGGTTTCCATGATGATGTTGCCAGCCGCGAGTACCGCAGGAGGAATCGGATTGATGCTATCCGGAAGGTGGTTCTGCCGAAGGATGACGATAGCGGCGGGCCAGGGGGGGGTAAGATTAGGTTGAGGAGGTGTACTAGGTGCTGTGCTGTTGTCGAGGATATCATCCCTACCAAGAGTCCGAGCCATTGGTTTGGGTCGATGCAGAGGATGTGTTTTTGTGGGACGCTTTGGATGCATATTTCCTGAAGGCGGCGGGCAGGTTGTGCCGCGCCGTTGCTGTGATTAGGGTACTTGCGCATTCCAAAAGTATCCGGATGTCTTGGCACGGCCTTCGACTGGGGAAGAAGAATCCTTTAACCAGCATGTTTCGCACCAAAAGAATTTGTAAAATCAAAAATAGCTAAGGTTCCTGAAAAATTTAACTGTAGTTTCTCTGTATACTACAATAGGGAATAGGCTGGAGGTTCAGAAAATTGAAAAATAATTCCAAAGTATTAACCTCTAGGCGAGCTATAGGGGTTTAAAGTCCCATAACGGGCTCCGGTTTAAGGTTTCTCACAACGACCGAAACTGCGCCAAGATATCCGGATACTTTTGGAATGCGCAAATACCGTTTGCAGCCGATCGACTCTGGTTGTTGGTTTTGTGGGTGAAATGCGTGAGCGGAGGTTTTTGATTGTCAGCTAATACTCAACCCGCCATAGTGGTGCGATGGTTTCAAAGTTACTGAAGGTTTGATTGATACGGAACGGGCTATTTTATGGTAATTTGGTGTGGTGGGGGCTTCGGCTACCACTATCGCTCTTGTACTTGTACTACTAATACGGCGGTCCACCAGTATTGTAAAAGGAATGAATGAATGAAGGGACATGAAAAAGAGTGTTCCGTTATTGGTACTAAAGCTAAGGCTGGTGGGTCCTGATTCACTTGACCTAATTTCTCCCCCAATCAAAGTAAAAACGTGAGGAAATAGGAGAAGGAAAGAGGGAAAGAAAAAAAGACTTCTGGCAACCACCACGAAATGCCATCACCACCGCTACAACAGCAACAACTACTACGACGACCAGAGTTACGACATGATAGACTGTGATGAGAAGTTGCATGAGGGAAGGAAGAAGGAAGGAAAAAAAGCAAGTTTTGGGGTGTACACCCAGTCCAAGCCTCCTACATTATCCAATCTGATCGATTAAAGCTTGTTAAGATCCCCAATCAATTCATCCATTGCCTTTTTGTAGGCGACTCTCTCCGCCGCATACCGATCCTCGTATACCTAGAACATGGAAGTAAATAAATTTCATTAGATATTATGTTCAATGTGGCCCTTGGCTGCGCCAAAGCAATTATCGGGGGGGGGGCGAGAAAAATACCTTCTTTTCGGCAGCAGAAAGTTTTTCGAATAGATTGTGAGAGTGCCGCAAGGCCGTGATAGCATTCATCTTGGACCCGTCTGGATTGACGAAGGTTCCAGCGCCCCACTGGTTCTTCAAGAATGCGGCAATGGGGGGGACAGGCCTCTTGGGAATTCTAGGGTCATCGATCACGCGGACACTACTACCCAAGCGCCTAAGATGTTTGCGAGCCCTGTTGGCCTTGTAAACCTCCTGGGGATCCATGCTCCTGACCCACTTCTCATGATCCCGAAGACCGGTCTGGTGAAGATCTCTGGCCTTCTCAGCGTATTCCTACATATCACTGTCAGCCAATCCATTACAAACTTGACATATATATGTCGGAGTTGGCATAAAAGAGCATGTGCATATTATACAAGACCCAAAGAACGAATAAACATACCCGCCGTTGCTCTGGAGTAAGCGCCTTCCACTTATTGGCTGCGTCCACGCCTACAGTGCCCCCTCCGAGAGCCACGAAGGTAGTAAATGGATTGGTTACAGGGATCTTAGGGGCCTTGAGAACGCGTGTCCTGAGGGTAAGTTTCTTTCGGCGCTCCGATTGCTCCGGAGTGAGAACCTTAGGAGTCTTCTTCTTCTTCTTTTTCACGGCTTTCTTGGTAGCTGGCTTCTTCTTCTTCAAGGCCTTCTTGATAGCTGGCTTCTTCTTCTTAACTGCAGTGGATTTTGACCCGGTAGCAGCTTTCCCCTTCTTCGAGGTGGTTTTCGCGGTGGTTTTTTTTTTGGCGGCAGGCTTCCCCTTCACAGCCCTCTTTGCAGTGGCCCCGGCTTTAGATGGAGCCTTGGTGGACTCGAAGCGGATGCCAATTGCTGCCACCTTCCACGGGTTGTCGATGAAGCGGTTGATGGCATGAATACGGCAGAGGGGAAGGGAATTGGACTTGGTCAAGGTGAGGATGTTGCGAGCCAGGAATCGGCCGAAGGACATGGCCATTGTTGCTGTGTTTTGATCGGCTGATTGATGGATCCAGTAAAGATAGGAAGAGAGGAGAGAAATGCACGATGGGTTTGACGGAAAGGTGGGATGGAAAAGGGGAAGTTTGCTGTTTACGAGGAATTTCACTGGCTCCTTGGCACCGTCATGATGTGGGTGGTCATAGGGCACGGTATTGTTTGTACGCCTGATTCGGGCGGGGTTGCGTGCATGTCTCAGAACGGAGGGGTGGGGGGGACTGTTTTTGCCCTGTCGTTCAAGATGTGCGACACGCACCGATCATCGCACATCCTCGCCCACCATACCGGTACCAGTATGATACATGTAACATGCATACGAGCACATCTTGAGCCTCAAAGGAACGAGGATAGGCGCGGTATGGTGCGAGAGGATTCAAGAATTGTAATTGAGTGCCGTGAATAACTCAGGGCAAGTCCATTTGCCGATTAATTCATTTCAATTTTAAATTGTTTCCTGGTTTGGTTTTGCTTTATTTTTTTACATATATCCACAACCTTGCAGTATCGTATCTTACCGGTATACCTCTTCTTCCCCTTCCTATGATACCGGTATACCGGCACCGGCAATACCGGTAATATGTACCACACAGTGCGGCTTACTCTACAGTACCCAAACAACCTGATCTGATGATCTGATAGGCAATCTAATCAGATGCCTTCCCGCACACTTATGCCTAGCAACAACAACACCGAGGCATCCCTAGCAAGCGGGAGGAATGGAAGAAGGAAAAAAGATAACAAAGCCGGAACCAACCAACAGCTATCTCTCTCTCTTACATCGCCAGGAGCTAGGTGCAATTGCGCTGGAGGTCTCAGGCCAGCTACCGTATCTATCATACAAAAGGAGAAAATCGCTTCCAACCCCCCCGAGGTCCCGGGGGGCTACCGTAGTGTATCGACCTGCACTGTGCCACGCATCTGAGCGAAAGGGAGGGGTGGGTGATTTACTCGAGCAAAGCACATTTTAGGCTTTTCATTATGAGGCAATGTGGTAGATGCACAAGTATAATAATAATAAAAACGGTTATTTGACAGGATACTCCTCTCTGAAACCAAATTTGACAGAATGCCACTGTAAAAAAAAAATTGATAGAATGCCATCCACCACATATGTTTCAACCTAATATTTTCCACACAGTATATTCTACCTCCAATACTATAGGTCTAACATAGAGTGAAATGTATTAAATTAAAACAGAAGCAATTATTTATTTCATAGTATACTGCTCTAGAGCTCAAAATTTAACAGAATACTCTTGTGAAAAAAAAAAGCTTAATATAATACTCCTCTATATATCAACTGAAAGATATAAGAGGTGGTAATATAGGAGAAGAATCAAGAGTATATACTCTATTACATATTTGTTCCTCTTTCAAGTAATAACTATCTTGAGTCCAGCTATTTCTTTCTATCTCCAGCTTTTCTTAATAATAAGTATTACTCTTCCACTTTCATTTACAATTCTTATTTCTCTTCCAATAGCCTCATTATAACTTTGTCATTACAGCAAGCTCTTAAAGCATTCTCTAACTTCAATCCTTAACTGTACTAACAAGTACTTTGTAATATAACTTGGTAATAAAAATCAAGAAATTAGACCATATAACTTATATGATATTGTGAAATTTTGTTTGACAACTGATTACCTATTTTATGTTTAGATAATATGGAACAGAGAAGCAGAATAAGTTATAATAGTTGATTATTATATTCTAATACACCTATAATCCCATGTTTAGTACTTGCTTTTGTATATTACTGTAATATATTTACTTTTATCACTTAATGCATTCTGCTATGTCAGACCTATATTATTGGAGGTGGGATAAACTGTGTGGAAAAGATTTGGTGGAAGAACTTGTAGTAGGGGGCATTATATCAAATATTTTTTTATATAGTGGCATTCTGTCAAATTTGTGTTTGAAGAGGGGTATCCTGTCAAATAACCGTAATAAAAACCATAATGGCAATAATACTAATATTATTCCGCGGATGAACTCATGGTAGGGTAGGGTACCTTACGGTACGATGGGGTCAATATCTCTCGTCCAGCACCATGGCTCGATCAACTGGGTCTGGTAATGGTAACAAATAATTTATATTCGTAGAGTGCGGGTATGATAATATTATTATGAGACTGTGTATGTAGGCTACTAGCTTTATATCATACCACGCTCAATAAAGCAGCAGGAGTGACAACCACCAACAAGAGCCCACAACGACAACAACACCCCCCGAGCACCCAGCACGACCGGTCCTGTACCACCGCCAATCTCTCAAGGGTGACAAGCCTTCGAGCCCGTGTGACAGAAAAAGGTGTGGCAGGGTGACAGCCTTGTCATTACTGTACTGTACGTTCTCAGGGCTACGCATCGTTCTGGCTACTGCGCGCGCTGCACACAGTCCCGTAGGAACCTTGGTGGACAGTCCTGTTGTAATCCCTCCCTCACCCTCCTCCCCCACCTCTAACAAAAAAAAAAGGGAAAAAAACAGAGAAAGAGAAGAGACACAGAGAGAGTGTGTGAAGGGAATTCGCTGTACCCGTATCTGCCGCCATAATGCCGTCTCACTATGATTCCCGTGCCAGCGTTTTCACACAGCGCCCCCTCTCCCTTAACCACCGGCCTCCCCCTCCCTCACCTTTCGCCGATATACACACCGCTCATCACCCCGACTTCCGCGTCCCACTTCAAACGGCCGGTAATCGCCGGAAGAGAACGAGATTTATCATGATTTCGCCCGTCTCTCATGAACATCCTTTGTTTGACCATCACCAGCCTGAGCAGGACAAGGACGATCAATATCAAAACAGCCAGCACAAGAACCTGCCGATACGGGATTCGTCCCTGGATTTTATTGGCTCTTTCTTCGGCACCTCTTTAGCCAATGTTGTTCCATACGATGGCTCTATGTGTTCTTTGAAGATTACCGAGGGGCCAGGCACTAACTTGGCAGCTACTCTTCCAGCTTCACTACCAACACAGCCTCGCGCCGAATCTCCGTGTACCAAGGATTGCTCCACTGCTTGTGATAGAGCTGGCTGCGCAAACGATTGCGAGTATGACGATTGCGGAGAATGCAGCGGTGGGTGTCTGATCGAGGTGGAGATCTGTGACGAGAAGGAATGCATTGATGGGTCGGGCTCGGATCGAGACTGTCACGGCACACCATGTCCAGATGCAGATGTCTGCCATGAGACCATTATATGCCAGAAAGACGACTGCTCTGAGGACCAGGGGTGCTCGGAGAATTCTTGCATGGGGAGCTACTGCCATGAAGACTCTTGTCGGGAAGGGGGAGATGATGATGACATATGCCATGCTTCATGCCAGTCCAACTGCCCAGTTGATGGCTACAGTCACTCCGTCCTTGGGACACCTCAGGTTTCCACGTTTGTTAGTGCTCAGACAGACAACACTATCGGATGGTCACCGTCTGCGCGTCAGTCACATGCACCGTACTCAAATGTGGAGCCAACTCTTCTAAACCTGGACGTTCAGTCTCACCCTCAACCGCTCCCTTATCCCCTCTCGGCTTCTTCACGCTCATCGAGTGCCTTCTTTGAAAACCCTCATGCGGATTATGAGAGCAACTATGAGCTCTACTCTGCCCCCTCGAAGCGTCGAAGGGTTTCCACGCCAATGTCAACCCCAAACTATGGCCCCTACCCGGAACCCCACCCGACAACGGATGCTACACTCAACGATTGTGCGCATCAACTCAACTGTCTTTGGAATGACGGTTGCGACATGAGCTTCATGGATAATAATTCCTTGGTGAGCCATATTAACAGCAGTCACATTAATTATGATGCTGAGCCAGTATGTCTGTGGTCGGGCTGTGGTCAAGAGGTTCAGGACCATGAAGTGCTGTTGGATCACGTTAAGGACCTGCATATGCCTCATGCGTATCAAACGGTCTGTCTGTGGAAGGGCTGCAATGCCGCTTTCCAGAACGATGCGGATCTTCAATCACATCTACGAACGCACCTAGAGGGACCAACAGAGCAATGTCTGTGGGGCTCATGCAATACCGAGGCTCATGAGATAGATGATTTGGAAGAGCACCTTCACAGCGAGCACTTTATAACACCCTATGACGTTCCCGAGCCCGAAACCGAGGCTGAACCCTCCTCGTCGGAAACTAGAGTTTGTGAGTGGCAGGAAGTGGGTGTCGACGGGAGTTCTCACGTTTGTGGGAAGGCATTTAGCAGCGCCATAGAGCTACAGCGCCACGCAAAGGATTGTCATATCGCAGCACTGAGAAAAAAGACGGGATACTTTTGCTTCTGGGAAGGGTGCAATCGGAGGGACAAACCTTTTAGTCAGAAGGGGAAGGTGGAGAGACACATCCAGACGCATACCGGCTGTAAGGATAATGCCTTGAAGTGCCTTAGCATCGTTATTTTAACAGTCGTGCTCTACACTAGACAAAAGTTGTACTTGCCCGTTTTGCCAGAAAGAATTCTCCGCGCCCCAAGCGTTGCAACAGCACATTCGTACTCATACCGGGGAGAAACCCTATAAATGCGATGTACTGCCCCTTCCACTCCCCCGGCGTCCCCGAGACCTGTTTAGAGAGGATGTGGTGGTGGTATTGACTGTTGATGAATAGATTTGCGGCAAGGAATTTGCCCAAGGGTCGGCCATGACGATGCACAAGAGGGTCCATACCGGAGAGCGGCCATTGCAGTGCGATTTCCCCGGATGCGGCAAGCGATTCTCCGAGAGCAGTAATCTCTCCAAGCACCGCAAGAGTGAGTTCCCTCCCTCGGCTCGGAGACGTGACGGGCGACGGGGCAGACACGAGACACGGAAGGCTAGACACTAACAATTATCTCCACCCAACAGCGCACAACCCGGTCGGGCAACACCGATGCGGCTTCCCCAGTTGCGACAGATCTTTCCATAGGTTAGGTAGGTTTCTACGAGTTCTCCTTCGGTTCTTGTCGAATGGGTCGAATTGGCGGGAACCCTATGGGTCACAGATTGCTAAGATTAAGCTCTCCAGATCAAATGAAACGCCACCAGAAGACCCACGGCACCGTCGTCTCATCCAGCAACCTAGACTAATCGCGCCCAAGCGCGGGGGGGAATAAACGAATGGTTCAGCGCAGATTATGGCTGACAAAGGGATTGCCTGGCTTTTTGAGCACTCTCTTGTGGAGGTTTGGGGAGTGAAATGCCGTGGGGACCTATCATACACACTTCTCCGAGAAGCGGAGCTGTCACCCGTCTGACGTGGTGCAACAGCAAGGGCTAGCTTATGCGATGGCCTCCAAGTTCAAGCTCTCTGGCTCGTTGTGTGTGGGTTCCCGCGTTGATGTTGGCATTATCCGGATGGGGTATTTAAGACTCGGTACATGAGATGAATACCTTTTATTGCTCCAATGAGTGCCGCTATGACACCCTATACCTTTGCGGTCTGGCGGTATTTCCTTTTTATTTATTTTTTCTTTCTGATTTCAATTCTAGCTCCTGTCCGTACCTAGATACTACCCGTATAGTCAGACCGGTGCTTAGATCATTTTCCCAATGAATGAGCGGTTATCCCCAATATGCAGCAAGGCCAACCTATGGCAAGAGAGTAGAAATTATGTTTTCCAGAAGTGGTATGTGTGGCCGTTTGATCAATACGGTGGTGTTCAGGGGATCAGTCCCCGAGCGCGAGCGTACTCGTACAGAATGAGCACAATAGCGGAGAGGGTGATATCCTGGCATTCACGTCTTGGGCCTATGATACTGTAGCTTACAGTAGTACCGGTACCAGGTACTCGTGGTGCCGTAGTACCGACCCACTGATGTGGCCCTGCGAGGCGGGATACGGTATTCCCTGAATCACGAATTTGGTGCGCCGATTTGTTGTCACCTCTTCCCCCCTTCCTCGTCTCCGGATAATAGGGTCTTTGATCGGATTGGTTGGGAGCAAGTCATCCACATGGTTGGTAGGTTGGTAGCGATCGCCCACCCGGATTCTCCCCAATTTACTCGTAATACCTTCTCTCTCTCCAAGAGCGGAAGTGGAAGCGAAGGCCCATTATGGTTGGAAGATAGTTGCAGCTTTCCGTAGCGCCTCCCCCTGCAAGGTTGGGGGGGAGGGGAGGGAGTGTCTGGTGTTACTGGTGAAGTGAAAGGAAGGGGTAAGCTTTATGATACGACAAAAATACCGTATTACACTCGGAGCGGAAAGAGAAGGGCAAAAGGCGCCGTTAATCCATTGACCCATCTCTCCTGTATCGTACTCGCGCCAATCCAAGTTAGTCCCTTGCTGTACTCGTACCTACTCGAGTATCACGCTTGCATCCATACTGTCTCAAGTACACTTGCGTTTTTGTTTTTGCTTTTTTCCCTTCACGGGGTGACCCCCCCGTCCGTAAAAAGGCAGGAAAGGAAAAGGAAACGAAAGAAAAGGAAAGGGGGAAGAAGAAAAAAGGAACCTCCAAGTAACTTAGGTGCATCTGCACAATGCGCTGTTACTGTACGGAGTATTCGGGTGCGAACTCCGTGGAGAGGGGGATGGGGGAGGTGAGACTGTTCCGCCCTTTGGCGGTTCGAGGCTGTGATGGATTGGATGAGAGTTATCCTCGCACTGGGACACCTTGCTTGCACGAATGCTCGTACAGTTACCTGTCACTATACTCTTACATACATACAATACAATACATACTCGAGTACATACAGTACACACACACACACACACACATGCCATTATCGACATAAACCCGTTCCTCTTCTTCTTCTTCCCCTTCTTCCTCTTCTTCCTCTTCCGCCCCGGTAACTTGTGTGCTGCTGTAATCGTAACTAAGGGGGGGGATACAATCAAAGATCGGTGTTTAGTGAGGCTTTTGCCTGCCACCGTCCGACGTGTTCCCACCACCATTCTGGCTGGCCTATTCTTATAAAGGTTCATCCCTCCTGAACAATGCCGTAGGGCTTGCCCATCTACTCTTTATTCTGCTGCCCCCCCCCCCCGATCCTCTTCTCTCTCTTCTCCCTCCTCTCATCTCCCCCTCCCTTTGCCCTCCTCCCTTCCTCCTCCCTTTAATTACACCCCTTTGCAATGACGCCCAACGATGAAAGGACTCCTCTGCTCGCCGAGCCCCCGGCATCTCGCATCGACAAGCATGTCCCTCCAACCGACGAGGAAGCACGGATTAAAGATTCCGCGGCCCCGTCAACCGCACCCGACGGTCCAAAGATCCCTGGCGTGAAATTGAAGCTCATCCTTCCCGCCATGGCAATCGGGGTTCGTTTTGCTTTTTCGCTTGTTCCCGGGCAAGTTTCAGGGCTGCCACAGGGTCCCCGTATTTTTCTTTTTTGCCTGACCAACGGCCCGTGTGTCTTAGGTTTTCCTAGCCGCCATGGATAACACCATCATTGTGAGTTCGTACGGAGCCATCGGAAGCGATATGAAGGAGTTGAATAAGACTTCTTGGATTGCCACGGCGTGTGTACCTCCCTTTACCGGACCAAGGGCAGCCGGTGATAAGGGGCTGATTGTTCGCTTGGTGATCCAGATATTTGCTTACCACCACGAGCTTTCAACCGCTGTACGGAAAATTGAGTGATATTTTCGGACGTAAACCCGTCTTGTTGTTTTCTTATGCCGTTTTCGGAATCGGATGTTTGTGCTGTGGTCTTGCAAGGTCCATGGAGGAGTTGATTGCTGCAAGAGTATGTTCCTCTGGAGTTTTTATCTTGCCGCACGCTGTGCTCATCCTTTGCTCGCGTAGGCCTTCACAGGTGTCGGCGGAGGCGGTATGACGACCGTGGTTTCCATATTACTGAGCGACATAGTACCCTTAAGGTCCCGGGGAACTTTTCAGGGCATTATAAATCTCGTTTTCGCAACCGGGGCTGCAATTGGTGCCCCGTTGGGTTGGTTTCTCCCTGCCGAGTGATGATTGGGCAAAGCTGATAGGATTAATGAAAGGCGGGATCATGGCGGACAGCGTTGGCTGGAGATGGTAAGAATCTGTCGTAGCGCCGAATCCTGTTCCCCAGTACACGGGCTAACGTTCTACGATATTAAGGTCATTCCTGGGCCAGTTCCCCGCCGCGGTGCTTGCTATCCTCGTCGTCTCGGTGGCGCTGCATCTTCCCCCCTCCGCCCTTCCTCAAAAGGCAAATTTCAAGGATCAGCTGAAGCGCATTGACTTCCTGGGAGCCGGTGTCCTCGTGCTCGCGGTGTTCGCCCTCCTCTTTGGCCTGGACCGAGGTGGAAATCTCTCACTCAGGGATCCATACGCTATCATCTCGTTGTGCACCTCCTTGGTACTATTCGCTCTGTTTAGTCTTGTAGAGGCCAAGATCGCCGCCGAGCCATTCGCTCCGCTACACATTGTCCAAAGAAGAACCATTCTGAGTGCCTGCCTGGCATACTTCTTCTCCTACTCGGGGTACATGGCAATACTCTTCTACCTACCCCTATACTATCAAGCCGTGTCCTCCCTCGCCGCCGGCGCTGCCGGCCTCCGACTGGTCCCCACAATTGTAGGCGGTGTGTGCGGCTCGCTCTTTGGCGGAATCATAATGCAAAAGACGGGAAAGTACTACTACCTAACAGTCCTTTCATACGCCCTCTTCTTCTTCGGCACCATTCCGGTGTTCCTGGCTACGGGGATACTAGGGAACTCGACGCCAGCTATCACCACCGGTATCGTGTGCATGGGATTCGGAAATGGGGTTGGTGTTACAAGTGCTCTCATTGCATTGATTGCCGCGGCTGGACATGAAGAGCAGGCGGTTGCCACTGCTATGGGTTATCTGTTTAGAACTCTCGGCCAGGTTACGGGCGTGAGCGTTAGTTCTATGCTTGTGCAAGGGAGTCTGAGAGCAGAGTTGACAAGGGCTCTTGATGGGGCTGATGCTGATGAGGTATGAACCCCCCACCCACCACTACCCGATGCTAAGTTTTGCATAACAGATCGTCCGTAAAGTCCGCTCATCCCTCAGCACAATCGACACCCTCACACCAGCCACTAGAGCACTTGTCCTGGGGGCGTATCAAAATGCGTTGCATTGGGTATTTTCTCCCTTCGCTTGCTTTCCGGGTGTGCTGACTGTGTATAGGCGTTCCTACTAGGCATAGTACTCGCATTTTTCTCGGTACTCTCAAGTGCCTTTATTAGAGAGAGGGCTTTAGGCCGATAGGGGAGTGAATAGGTTTGCATATCACATGTGGAGTTGGGTGGCCTTTTTTTTTATCCCCTCTTTTCAAAACGGTTTCTGTCATTGTAGTTTTCGTTGTTTCCATTCACCATCTTTGTTCATTCTACTGCATAAATCTTGGCAAGCTGGCACGCGGTGGGTGCGGTCGGATGTCTCCCTCCTCGAGGGCCAGCATCTTGCAAAGCAAGTAGGAAAGTGGACGGAGAGGATTTTGGGTGCACCAAGCTTTACCTGGACAAGAAAGGTGCATCATAGAATTATCAAGAGAGAAAAATATAAGGACAACGCCTCCCACTGACCCCAAGTGGAAATCGACCATGATATGTTGGGTCTTTCCCTTCTTTTCCACACTGAAACTAGAGTTCCCGGTCTTGGCGAAGATTCTGCGATGGGGATCTGACTAGGTTTCGCATACCGTTACCGAGTGATTCACTTCTCCTGACCATCGTTCCCGGTCCGATAACTTAACTCGTGTTCCTGGGGCTTTTCTCCTGGTTTCCTTGCTTCCATTTACCGGTATAGCAAAATATACAGTACCGATATTTAAAGCCTAGAGGGGATGACCACAGTTCTGAACCGGTGGGTGGGATCACAACTTGTCACTCGGGACACACCCTCCTTCTCTGCATTCCTGGAGCATAAAATCTTTGATAATATTGTTATACTTGCCCCCCTCCACCTCCCCATCCCGGCAGCGGTAGCCCTTGGGGGGACGATTTTCTAGCCCTTATATTCCCACCGCCCCGTAAAAATAAGTTGCAATGTATATCAAATCTTTTCGTCCGATGGCCTTTTTACACCAAAAACATGCACTCCTACCGCCCCCTTAGGCACCATCAATGTCTATAAAAATCTACCAAAATCTCATGCTGCATTATCAAAACCCAGGATAACATATATAAAAAACTTTTGCAGAGTTCTCAAACCCTATAAAACAGTAGAAATAACACGAGCAAAGTATGTGGTATGTGGTTGCTATGTACCTTTTTCTATAGAGCCCCATACAAATTTTTAGATCCCTTTTTTTAGACTTAGTGATACCATTGTAAGCCATTGATTCAATCTCACCATTTTTTATTCATGCTTCTATGAGGATGAGGCCTAAGTGATTCCCTACCCAATATCAAGATTCCAATTGTTTTTTAATAAGGCAGTGGTGGGTGTTGTGGCTCTGAAAATGTTGATTTTTCGCCATATTTGGTGTAAAGACTCATGTCGGACGAAACGATTTTGGTAGGGTACTTTTACCTACCCATGATACCTGGATGGCTGTCGAGAAATTTTGTGAAGCCAGTCATCGTATTGAGGGCATTGCGCTTTCGACCGTTCGGTTTACCCGTTTGACCTGGCTTGGGTATGATATTTATGTATTTATGATATTATGTATTGGCTTAATCTAAGCGTGAATATGAGATTTCGTTATATTGCTAGGGGGTTAGCTCCTGGGGTTGTTGTTGTTGTTGCGTGTATGATGGTATGATAAGGTCGGAGGCAGCGAACGGGGGTTGGTAGGTAGGAGGATGGCACGGCATGATAATAGGGGATTTATCGTTGCGGTGTGTGATATCGTAGAATTCTGGCTCATGACATGATATTATTATGGTTTGGTACATAGTGGGTTTGCGGGTATGGTGAGTGATGGGCTGTGATATGATACCCCTCGTGCGATGTTGGCTAGGGCTGTTGGCTTGTCGGAGAAAGATTGGGGTATCCACGGTATTAGACTACATGATACTGGATGGGTGGATGGATGGATGGATGGATACCGCAGCTGCGGGATCGGAAGGGAATGTGTTTATGACCCGGTACTCTGGAATTAGAATCACCGACCCTATTTTGTCTGAATTAGTATGATACCATACCGGTAGTGGATATCACACTTGTAGAGCATTAGTTTCTCTCACACTCTCCCTCCCACCACCAGTGTCGTGACACATCTTCTCAGTCCCGTGACCAAAAACCCTCAGGCAATGGAAATTTTTTTTAAGTTGATTTCGTTATCATTCGTGCTCTCCTGAGCACTCTGGCGAATATTAGATATTAGAAAATCATATACCGTTCTGGGACAGGTGCGCCACAGACCGCCCTTCTTACTCTCTCCTCTAGTGTAGCACATTCCCAGAGCCCGCGAACGGTGCACCCGTGTATAAATAATAAAAACAGCCCGGCGGGACAGCCATCCATCAGCCATGTCGCCGGTACAGGAGGGAGGGGGGGCTTATCATTCTTGTGTTGTAATGAAAGGATACGAAGAGAGCCACCAGTCAGCACAGTTGGAGATATATATCACTCCCCAACCCCAGAAAAGTCATGGGCAGCAGCACTAGCGGAGATATATTTAACAATCTTCCTTCCTTCATCCCATCCCTTCCTGGCGTAACATCACATAAACAGCACAATAACCCCATCCGCCTATCCAAGCTGTGATGCCCGCCGGTACACCGCTCGATAACTACGGTTTTTACGGTACACCAGACAAACCGCACCGTGCTCGTATAACCTAATGCTCAATAGTAATTACTACCGTTCGCACGAAACAACACATCCGGCTAACGCAATGGACATGGGTGTGTGTGTGTCAGACGTAGAAGTGAATCCCTTTGTATGATTCCTGAATTTTGCTAAAAAAATCCAAAAAATCCTCACGACTAAATTTTGGCCAAAATCAAACTTGGTGGGAAGTTCTAAAAAATAAAAATAAAAGAGAGAGGCAGGGGAGGGTGGGAGAGCAAATATAGCATACCGTGATATCAAGAACATCCCATACCATACTGGCACAGTCCCTATATAATTAGATATATATATCAATTGAGATTGCCACCCTTCTCTCTCTCTCTCTCTTTCTCTCTCGTGAGTTTTAACAGATTCATTCCCCATCCAATGGGCTCCCCCGGTTCAACAGACTGGATTAAATCACGTTATGATACTGTATGATAACTGCGGACCCATCCGTGCGCGGGAGGCTATGATAGTATACCATCCATTCACTTCTTCCAGAGCAAGCCCCCCCCCCCCCCCCCTTCCTTCGTGCCCGCAGGTTTACTCAACGATGAGGTCACGCAGCTCAACAGCACCGACGACGGAGGAAACATAGACTATGATAATATACTAGTTCCCCTCCCCACCCACCCGCCAAAGAAAAGAAAAAAAGGGGGGGAGAGAAAGCGGGTATGAATACACGAGTGCCGCAAACAGATATATCCGTCGAGTGAAGTATGATAACCAAAACTACCCGGTGCTTTTTGCTTCTCGTACTTCACGTGACGGATATATTTATTTATCGACTACACTTGTACTCGAGTACTTGTGCCCGAGTTTCTTTCACTCTGTAAAGTGTGTATATATATATATATATAGGCCATAACAGCGATCATTGCAGGTCCAACCTCCTACTTTGTATTCCGCTCGAGTTAGTGAGAAAGGCCTCAGGCTAGCTTAGAGCAACCTTTTCCTTTCCCTCGCCTTCCCTTCCCTTCCGTTTCCCCCCTTTGAGGATGAAATGTGAAGAGGATCGGGAATCGAGGATTTGTATTTTTTTAATAGCAACAGGCGGATCAAATCCGGACGGCAAGCGGAAGAAGAAGAAGAAAAAGAAATCAGCACGATACGATATGGAAAACCTCCCCATGGGGACTCAGAAAGAGTGGTCTGGTCTAGTGTTGGGACGTGATCCGAAGGTATTATCCCTTGCCCTGTTGCCGAATTTCACATTATTTTAGTGCGTGGACTAATACAGTAGTGTAGGTTTAGCCACCCACCATAAGAGCAAACTATTCTCGATTGGTACCCCTCCTCAAAAGATAAGCATGAAAAATGAAAAAATTAAAGATCATGAAAGTGTGAAAAACAAAACTCTTTA